CCGCCCCCGCCACCTTGCAACAGCATCAAAAAGCTTTTACAATGTTTTTCTCTCTGGCCATTGCATTCTTGTGTACCTGGACTGTAACTGCATCTTGTCTATGCAGGCTGAACTTGCATGTCACATACCAAAAAACTCAAACGTTCTCCCTAGATGGACACGATGAAAATATCATCACTTTCCGAATGGATTCATTCTTGTTTATTTAATTTTTGAAGTCAAACGAGAATGGAAGCAACGGGAAAACTGGGGAATTCAATTGATCAGGAAGTTTACAGAAAGTTCGTTCAGGGCATGAAAACTTTTGATCAAGCACTTGGCATTCGTCTTCGATTCAAGCGATGACAGACATGTTAGGGCTTTTAACTCCAAATTCTCTGGACTTTACAAGGAATTCATATTGCAGTGAATGCAAGGGTGAAGAAAGGTGCAAAGAAATTCGAGTGTTAGATTATGATAGCAGAGAAGAGTTGAAGGAGTTGTAATTCTTAAGAGTCATTCAATAAAATTACAAACAGCATTGGATGGAAATGAAAGCAAAAGCATTGGCAAAGATGTGAACATCAATGAAGAGACAAACATTGAACTCATTCTCATGTCATGAAAATGTTCAACTCCTTCCAAACTCCAAACTCTGTTGACTTTACGTGGAATTCATATTGCAGTGAATGTAATAATGAAGAAAGATGGAAAGTAATTCAAGTGTTACATTATGACAACAAAGAAGAGTTGAAGTTGAATTATAATTATCAAGAATAATTCAACAGCATTTAATCAAAAGCTAATGGAACGAAGCCAAATGCATTTCCTCAAGACGCATGTCCAAACATTTTATCAAAAATGCATCCTCACGTCATGAAAATGTTTAACTCCGAAACTTCAAACTCTCTAAACTTTATATGGAATTCATATTCCAGTGAATGGAATGATGAACAAAAATGCAAAGTAATACAAGTGTTAGATTTTGGTAACAAAGAAGAGTTGAAGATGTAATTCTGAAGAATAATTCAATAAAATTACAAACAGCATTGGATGGAATTGAAGCCAAATGCTTCAACATCAATGCAGAGACAAACATTGAACTCATCCTCACGTCATGAAAAAGTCATTCTCACGTCCTTCCAAACTCCAAACTCTCTAGACTTAACATGGAATTCATATTCCAGTGACTGCAATGATGCAGAAAAATGCAAAGTAACTCAAGTGTTACATGATGACAACAAAGAAGAGTTGAAGTTGAATTATAATTATCAAGAATAATTCAACAGCATTTAATCAAAAGCTAATGGAACGAAGCCAAATGCATTTCCTCAAGACGCATGTCCAAACATTTTATCAAAAATGCATCCTCACGTCATGAAAATGTTTAACTCCGAAACTTCAAACTCTCTAAACTTTATATGGAATTCATATTCCAGTGAATGGAATGATGAACAAAAATGCAAAGTAATACAAGTGTTAGATTTTGGTAACAAAGAAGAGTTGAAGATGTAATTCTGAAGAATAATTCAATAAAATTACAAACAGCATTGGATGGAATTGATGCAAATGCTTCAACATTAATGCAGAGACAAACATTGAACTCATCCTCACGTCATGAAAAAGTCATTCTCACGTCCTTCCAAACTCCAAACTCTCTAGACTTAACATGGAATTCATATTCCAGTGACTGCAATGATGCAGAAAAATGCAAAGTAACTCAAGTGTTACATGATGATAACAAAGAAGAGTTGAAGTTGAATTATAATTATCAAGAATAATTCAACAACATTAAATCAAAAGCGAATGGAATCGAAGCCAAGTGCATTTCCTCAAGATGCATTTCCTCACGTCACAAAAACGTTCAACTCCTTCCACCAATGCATCACGAATTCTGATTTTTCCTGTCAAGCAAAGGGCGCATGTCCCCCCTGAACTTAATAATAAAATTCGCCTTAAGTCATGAAAGTGTTCAACTCCCGCCGTTTCCACATCAAGAAATCCCCTGATTTTCCCGTCACATGGGCCCCCAAGCCCCCCTCGAAATTGAAAATAAAATCATGATTATTCGACACGTATACCGGCAATTCAAACCAAAACCCGTTCGACTCGGCTCGTACCCAGCGAGCAAAAGAGCGCGACGAAGGCAGCCGACGACGTGCGGTCGTTCCCCCCTTGGATTGTTGGAAGAACATACATACACATATGCGTGAACGCACAGTTTCAGCCGGACAGAGCCGGCAAATCCACCCAACAGAGACGAAATAATCCCTCCAAATGGGGAAGACAGAGAGGGAAAAAAGCCCAGACGAGGATGAAAATATTGGTCGAGAGGAATTCTTGGGAGCGAAGGGCTTTGTAGTGCTTCTACCCCGATTCTCTCGAATCTGATGCCGTTCGTCCTTCCCCACCCTCGTCTCCCCCTTCGTCTTTGTTCCCCTCATTTCGAAACAGCGGGGGTGTAGACAGAGAAGAGAGAGAGAGAGAGGAAGAGAGAGAGGGAACCGAAGCCCAGGCCATGTTGCCAGTCGACGATACGTCCTCTCTCTTTCTCCTTTCCCTTCAGTTCACTTCGAAATCCCCTCGGGATACGGGGGAGGGCGGGGGGATAACGCCCCCTCACCACCCCCCGAAAAGCGTTCGGAGGGATCTCCCCAAAAATAATTGCGCGTTTCGTGGTCTCTTGATCCGACGCGTAAAGTAATCCAAACACAGCATAAAAATTATGTTTACGAGTTTCGAATGGTTATAGAGGGGTTTTTCGTGTTCCTTATACTGCCCTAATGCATTTGAAAATGGGGATAAGAGTGAGAGGGGTACGTGCCGAGGCATTTCGAAGATTTATCCCTCGGTTTTTGGTTATCAACAGACTGTTTGGGGATTGTTTCAGGGTGATTTAGAATTATCTAATAAAATTGAGGTAATGGGCGCATGCTGTTGGGGATAATTTATGACTCTGATATCATCGGGACTTTTTTTTCAACGGGTGTGGGAAACACTTGTTACGAGAGATAAGGGGCTCGACGAGGATTGCCGGCGCGAAATGAGATTGTCGATTTTTGGAATAATTTTTTCGAAAATGTTTGGGACGTTTTCGAGGGGATTTTTCCCCTGAAAACGAGGGACATGTTGAAGTTTTTGGTTTTTGAGGGGGTTTTTAAATTGTCGAGGTGAAGAGGTCATTGAATGAGGTTTCTGACGAATGTCGGAGGTAAATTGTTCAGTCACACTCACCGGTTTTCTCCTTTATTTCACAGAGCACTGAGAATAACGCTGGCTTCATTCTGTGGCAGTTGAGGGTGTGTTTTCTGTTGACAAAAAATACAGGAATAATTATTTGCGATGGAAAATTAGGGAAGTATCCCGGAAATTAAGTGAAAACTAAAACTTTTGAAGGGAAAATTATTGGCAAAAATTGGTAGTATTGTTGTTAAAAGATACGGGAATAATAATGATTATCAGCAACGGAAAATCACTTGGTGTAAATAATAAGAAAATATCCCAGGGATTACGAAGTTGAAAAAAAAAGTTGATTAAATTCTAGAGAGAGGCAAATTAACAAGATTTTAATGGGAAAACTCTTGGCAAAAATTGTTAATATTGTTGTTGAAAGATACAAGAATAATTCTTACCAATAGAAAATGGCCTGGTGTGAACACCAAGAAAATATTTCGAGGCTAACGAAGTTGACAGAAAAAGTTGATAAAATTTTGGAGGAAAATTAGCAAGATTTTAATGGAAAAATTGTTAGTAACAATTGTTAGTATTGTTGTTAAAAGATACAGGAATAACTGTTAGCCATGGAAAATCTCCTGGTGTAAACAATAAAAAAATATCCCATTGTTTACGAAGTTGATAAAGAAACTTAATAAAATTAACAAGATTTTAACGGAAAAATTTTTAATGAAAATTCTCAACATTATTGTTGAAAAATCCCAGAATAATTATCAGCGCGTGCAAACCGCCTGGTCCAACACCAAGAAAATGCCCCGTTGCTTACAAAGTTAAAAAAACTAAATAAAATTTTCTCCCGGCAAATTAACAACATTTAAACAAAAAAATTGTTTAAAAAAATTCTCAATATTACTATTAAAAATCCCAAATAATTATCACCCCCAAAAAACCCCCTGGTCCAACACCAAGAAAATACCCCCATTGCTTACGACCTTGATAAAAAACTAAATAAAATTCTCTCCCGGCAAATTAACAAGATTTTAATGGGAAAATTGTTAGCGGCATTCTCCCGCTGTAATTGCATTATACCCGGGTAATTCTATATCTCGAGGTGCTCTGCTATCGATAATTGTGGGTTAACGAGGTAATTACACGTGCTTTTATTTCGCCGTCTTTTTTTTCAATTCTCCCGAGAAGCGAATTGATTGCACACGAGATAATCTCCTTGACTCTTTGATAAACAGAAAATCGAGGGGACAATGAAATATTCAATTCACCTGGCTTGCGCCTCGTCCAGACTCTGATCAGTGATATTCATGATCTGTTGTAATATTTCACCGATGTCCTGTTTACGCGCCTCAACAGCCTGCTCGGGCCCCTGTGATGCTGACCCATCAACCGGTCCCATACTTCCATAACCACCAGCATTCTGGGCACCCTGGCCACCATTACCACCCATCAAACCGACGTTAGAACCTCCGTGCTGCAGCATTCTTGCACTTTCATCCATCAACTGATCAAGTCCAACAATATTTCTGCTGCTCCCGCTCTCCCAATTTTATTCCTCTACCCACGTACTCACGATTTTACTTCAATTACACTGGACTCTCGAAAAAATAGAGATCGTTGTTCCCATTCTCGTCACTTTTTCCCCTGCTCAATCACCCAAAACGAGATTCAAACGCACAGACTGGTTACCCCAGCGTTTTGGAGGTTATGCTGCACGTCCACGTCCCTTTCCCCGACAAACCGATGAAAATTGCGATTAAAATACTCAACAACACCCTCGCAAATGTCAGATAAACCAGACCCACTTGTCCAACTATTAATAGAAATTCACCAGTTTATTATTCTCTCGTATACCATACACCACTAGTATAAAATGGTGTCCTCGTGTACTTTTGACGGATTGTCGTGTGTTTTTCCCTAATATTTTTACGTATACGCAATTTCAAGGTCGCATATGAGCGACGTGTGTTCCCCTTCCAGCGACTTTTTACCTCTTATGAGTTGCCCTCTCACTCTATCGTATCACTCCAGAATCACTCCGGACACAAGCGCGCGAATTTCTCGTTCTCACGACCAATGTAAACATGAAGACACTGTTTCAGTTGAATATCTCGTGTCGGTTTTGCTCACAAAATTAAGGGGGGGGGAGGGGAATTTGTTGAATGTCGGAGTCACCGCACCACAGTTCATGCATTCATTAGTTTTGTAAAGTTTATAACAACGGGGAGAGATAAAAACTCCACTCCACCACTCACTCACTTGTGTCCGCCTTACAAGGCAACGCGCCGAACCTTTCTGTCGCACTCCCGCCGTCTGGCGAGCCACGAATTCAGCGTTTGACTCTCGACACCCCCACCCAGTCACTCTGCCAACCCCTCGCGCACAGACGGGCGAGCAGACAAAGAGATACTGAGGCCGCGGGTGTGTGTGGGTCACGGGTTTTGGGAGCGCAAGAGGCGCGCGGTTGTGTGGGTGAGGAACCAGTCGGCGGCCATAGCTGCTCCGACCAATCAGCGGTGGCCCCTCGTCATCCCTCTTTCGGGCGCTCCCCACCAGAGCGCCTCCCCGCCGAGAGGTTCGCCACTGTAGCCGAGCGATTCCTCGATTTTTTATTGGCTTGTCTCACTCGCTTGGGCATGCGGCACGCATGTTTCACTGATAATTTCGCTCAGGGGTTTTTGGCTCACGCACTGGGGTTCTGGTTGAGGGATGTTTTGGGTTTGATGGGAGGGCTGGGGGGCTTTGGGAATTTGGGGAATTGGAGGAATTTCACGCGGTAGCGCGATGAGCTGGGCTGACAGTTACTCCGCCCACTGGGTTGAGTTTTTTTATGGATTTTTGGATTTTTTTTTTGATGGGGTGGGTGTGGAGGTTGGGGTTTTGGGGGTTGGAGGTTTTTTTAGTTGGTCGGGAGGTTTTTTTAGGGATTTTTCGGGGAATTTGGAGCGGAGGTGCTGCGCAGACGCGGGGATGCGGAGGTGTGTGGTGGCTCGGCTTCTATCGCATGTTACCGACGGAGTGTGCCGCCAGCGCCAACGACGAAAACAGGTCAAGAGGCAGGATTAAAGATGAAAATGCGTCACATGACCGTCATATGACGGTCATGTGACGGTCATGTAACCGTCGTTATGTATCTGTGTAGATGATTTGACAACAAGTCGNGGTGAGGAACCAGTCGGCGGCCATAGCTGCTCCGACCAATCAGCGGTGGCCCCTCGTCATCCCTCTTTCGGGCGCTCCCCACCAGAGCGCCTCCCCGCCGAGAGGTTCGCCACTGTAGCCGAGCGATTCCTCGATTTTTTATTGGCTTGTCTCACTCGCTTGGGCATGCGGCACGCATGTTTCACTGATAATTTCGCTCAGGGGTTTTTGGCTCACGCACTGGGGTTCTGGTTGAGGGATGTTTTGGGTTTGATGGGAGGGCTGGGGGGCTTTGGGAATTTGGGGAATTGGAGGAATTTCACGCGGTAGCGCGATGAGCTGGGCTGACAGTTACTCCGCCCACTGGGTTGAGTTTTTTTATGGATTTTTGGATTTTTTTTTTGATGGGGTGGGTGTGGAGGTTGGGGTTTTGGGGGTTGGAGGTTTTTTTAGTTGGTCGGGAGGTTTTTTTAGGGATTTTTCGGGGAATTTGGAGCGGAGGTGCTGCGCAGACGCGGGGATGCGGAGGTGTGTGGTGGCTCGGCTTCTATCGCATGTTACCGACGGAGTGTGCCGCCAGCGCCAACGACGAAAACAGGTCAAGAGGCAGGATTAAAGATGAAAATGCGTCACATGACCGTCATATGACGGTCATATGACGGTCATGTAACCGTCGTTATGTATCTGTGTAGATGATTTGACAACAAGTCGCTTACGAATTATTAGTGACCATCATTTTTAGGTGGAAACTTTGTGGGTCACATGACCGTCATTTTTGGTCATATGACGCGATTTGAAAAATGACGGACATTTTACGTCTCTTTCGACGGGCCTCATGACCCGTCATGCGACGCCATATAACGAGGCGTTTATTATGGCTGTCATAATTATCCTCCCCCCTCTAAGACCCTCACAATTTTCAACGAAAAAATGACAGTCATTTTTCGCCCATATAGATAGAATTTTATACTTTCTTTATCAATTTTTATTTTAATTTATTCCGTATCAGCCTACTGCGTATTTCGAAATGAAAATCACAATTTTTACACAATTTTTTCAAATTCATGACCGTCACAAATTAGAAATTCGTTATGACCATCATTTTTGTTTATATGACACGATTTCAAAAATGACGGTCATTTTGCATTTCTAATTGTGACAGCCATAAAAAAGGAGGGGAGGAAATTATGACAGCCGTTATAAACGCCTGGTAAAATGACCGTTACTGACGGTCATATTAGCGTCATATAACGGGTCATGTGACACATTTCCATCTCCACCTGCGCGAACTACCGGCTCGAATCCAACATGGCGCCTGCCTTAAAACTGCGCATGCGTCCGTCGACTGCGCATGCGCCGATGGCGATCCTCGTCCCTGCCCAATGGGATCTCAGGTCACGTGATGTCCTCACTGAACTCTCCGTTTACGAAAAACAGCTGCAACTGCTCACCCTTAGCCGGTACATAACAAACAACAACAACAGTATTATTTACATTCCCCTCCCAGCACTCGATTATTATTTCGTTTCGTTTTTAGTTTCTGCACGATACTTATGATTTCAACTCCAAAAGTATGTTATTAGTTTCGTTATTGTTATTTTCGATGACAGGACGTAACCTAGTTGTGATTATCGGTGTTTTTATTTGACAGTGGCCAATATCAATGAAGTGATCAATGGGCTTTATGAGGCCCTCGTGAAGGTGAGGTATCCAGGAGTGACGAATATCGAACGGGGGGATCTGGAGAACACCCTCTTGGCACAGAATGACAGGAATAAACTTCTGCACTGGTTGTTGGTGCAGAGCTTGAGGGCTATTAGTTCAACAGCTGATGAGCCTAAAGCCGACAATGGTAAGCTCATTAATTTATCACGTCATTGTTAAATATTCTATAACCAATTAATAATAATAACATTATTACTGTTAATAATAATAATATTTTGTGACTTATTTACACAATAATATTATTACTTTTAATTTAATCATATAATCATATTTTATAACTAACTAATTAATATTCTGCAACTTGTTTGTTTATCAAGTAATTGTTAAATATTTTTTCAAGAGTCATTAGTCAAGTGGTACGTGCAGCTGGGCATCTGTGATAATAAAGCAGCTCTGCTGGTTAGTAACTAATAAAAATCCTCATTACATTGTTCCAAGGATGAATTTATTTGGTAAATTTCCTCAGGGTCAATGTCCAATAAAAGATCAGTTGGATACTCTCATCAGACTCACGAGATTCGTGATGAATGTCCTCGGGGTTAATGGCGAGAAGAAAGTGATCCCTGGTGAGGCTGAGAATATCCTAGACAGATATCTGAATACTGAAATTAATCTCATTCCGACGTCCTGCAAGTTGACGACTAAATTGGGGTACAATGAGGCTAAACGGTATATGAAGAAGTTGAGTGAGAGTGTCAAGGAACAGGTGCCTCCATCGACTTTTGCTTCGACAGGGGTAAGAATCTCATCAACAAGAGGATTTTTATTACGTTACGTACGACAAAATTTTATGGAAATTTTTTTCTATAAAAATTTGTTGACATGATTTTTAAAATTTTTTTTTCTGCAATTTCATTATGGGGAACAAATAAAAAAATGAAAAAATATAGCAGAGAAAACTTGGAAAATTTTAATTTCCACAGAAAAATAAAAATCTATTGACTTTTTAAAATCAAATAAATATATCAAATGAATATGTAAATTCATAGATATTTAAATATTTATCCCATAAATATTTTAAATGTTGCGTAATCTCAAAAGTTGCAGAATTCTAATGAAATTTTAAGAGAAACTTTTTAGACAATTATTATTTCTGAATAAATTTTAACATGCGAATTTTTCTATTTAAAAACAGGATAACACCCAAGATGCTGTTGAGGGAAGAACAGACCAATCAGACGAGCAAGCACTCTCGGCATCTGCCGAAACCGTCGAGAAGTTTTGCGCTGCTTTCCAAGATATCGATAAATGGACGAAAGTTCCAGAAGAGTCGACAGAAAATCCCACGAAGTTGATGGATAATTACATAGACAGCATTCACAATAATTTCTCAACATTGAATGAGGTATACATCATGCCTATTACCGAGTATAATTTATCCCCACGTTGATTATTCATTAGCCTGTATAAATAATTAATTTTGTTTTTCAGGCTCTCCAAAACAAAAATGGAATTCTAGCCGCAGTTATTCCCACAGGACTAGACGTGGGAACGTATCCCTTGGACCAAATTATTCAAGATACAGTGATTGGCCTGGAAGAGCTACAGAAAGTCACTGATAGGAATGATAATTAAATCTAGCTCTCATTATTTTCTTCTTTCCTAATTTTTAGGTGAAATAAACTTTCCGAATCTTCAATATCTCCTGATCAAACGATACGATTTCAAAAAATTTAATTCCATTTTGAACATTAAAAAAATATCTTGAAAATGAGATCAAATTTTTTGAAATTCACTCTGCCAATCTCGAGATATTGAAGACCTTGTAGCTGCTCTCTACTTCTCAGAAATTAGATCTCGTACTGATTTTGTATTCTTTTTATACTTAAAATACTGTAAGGATAATGGTCTCTGAATAAAACATGAGTTCAATGTATTTTCAAGATGATTATTGGCAAAACCCCAGTGAAAAATACATTATATTGAATTAAAATGCCTTATGACCTAGGACGCTCCTTCTTCTCCTTGTACAGCGCGAGTAGTGATACGTTGGCAACTTTGACCACCTTGAAACGCACACCGGGAATGTCACCAACGGCGTGACCTTTACGACCGAATCCAGCCACCAAGACCTCGTCATTCTCCTCGATGTTGTTCAGACAACCGTCACGAGGTACGAACGCAGTGATTTTCTTGCCATTCTTGATCAGCTGTACCCTTACGCACTTACGAATGGCAGAGTTGGGCTGTTTGGCTTCTACTCCACTGTGAAAAGACCATTGCATTCAGTAAAATAGTTTTTTGATTGGAGTTTCTTATCGAGACTTTGGGTTAAAAAAACGTATTGAAGTCTCACGCACGAAAAAAATTCAGAGGAGACCTTGACGAGTTCGATAAATAATTCTATTGGAATTTAAATATTCAATAGCATTCATTCATTATTTATTTGTTTAATTATTCATTTGTTATCCTATTATTTATTGATTTTTTTCTGGAATAGAAGTGAATGAAGAAGATAAAAATATAAACACATTTTTTGTCAGAAATTTCTCCAATTAATTAAAAAATTATCCGCTGGCGTTTTCCTCCAAAATCACTGGTTTCCAAGACTAATGGACAATTATTGAATAAAGATGAGTCATTTGAAAATAAATCTATGGAATGAATCGACTAAATTGAAAAAATTTAAAAAATGATGGAATGTTGAAATAAATTAATCACAAATGTTATAATACTCGGAATTTTGAGTATAATGTTGCTTATTATGTGAACTATAATGTTAAATGTTCATTAAGTTCAAATTATTCATTAAATTGTTGATGAAATGGGTTTTTTTGCTAGAAAATATCTGCAATCCAACAAAACTCAACGAATGTTCAATAGAAAATATTCTACACAAACAGTCAATAAAATTCGATTTTTCTATCCAATTATTCCCTGCAGACATTTTCCATAGAATTTCCTCAACTGAAATTTCCCAAGTTTTTTCTTTGATTGCCTTGATGAGAAAAAAACGTACAATGAAATAAAATTGAAAACCTTTAACCGAGAAAATTCCATAGAAAATATCTCAATAAAATAAGTTGTGCCGAAAAATCGAATGCTATTAACTTATTCTACAGAATATTTTATATTAAACTAATGTAAAGTTCGATTCATCCAAATCCAATAGAATTGTTTAGCAAATTCCCAGGTTTTCTATTTAATTTTTTGCGGGCTCAATTGGTGAATAAATGAAAAATGTGAAGGAAAATACTTACACTTTTTCCAAAACAATTCCCTTAGCGTGGGAAGCACCTCCGAAGGGATTGGCCTTCCAACGAGTTCCCAGATGGGCCTTTTTGTAGTCCTTGTCATTCCAGCGCTGATCGCGTCTGTGGTTGACGTGCTTTCTTGCAGTGCGAAGACCACGGGGCTTACCTGCAACCCAAAACCAATGATCAATGATCAAAATCAAAAGCCAAACTAACAAATTACCGACACGAATTGCCTAGACCAGAATGAACCGATGAAGAAGTTCGATAAGCACTTCAATTGGAAGTCATAAGAATTCTCTTGAAATGTTATTAAAATTTATTTATTTAAAAAAATCTAGTCTTCAAAATTCTTCGTGTCACAAACACGCGTGGAAAACGATCCTAACCACGTTTTCACGTTCTGCAACCTCAAAATATCCACAAATACCGAATTGTTTTAAATATCGATCACTTAAAAATCTCCACGAATACTAGTAATTCATTGTTTTTAGCTTTTTATAACCAATTTGCGGGGAATAATCCAAAAAATTGTTAATAATTGCACATGAATTCACATACCCATCTTGATCGCTGAGCAATACGACCGGAAAAGGTCTGTCCACCATCAGCCGGAAACGGAGACCGTCATCTACCGCATTCTCATTGTTCCCGGGAAAGTTTGAATTAAATGAAACGAAAAAAATTGTAGAAAAATGTAGAAAACTCTATTGAATTTCTGTTGATATTTGTATTAGTTTTTGATTGATTATATGAACGAATTCCGCAAGCCTTATTGTGTTTTTTTTTAATAGAAAATATTCAATGTTTTTTTATTTAGAAAAATGCTTCGAAAAATATATTAAAAAATATTTTTTTAATAGAAAAACTCTCTAGAATTTCATCTTTCTATGTAATTTTTTGTGAAATTTTCTATAGAAATTCCTCGACATGAATTTTCTAAATTGTACCACTCTGTTTTTCTTCTCTTTTGATGAAGAAAAAACAAACAAAAAAATTCAGAAAATTTGAGCCCAGGAATTTCCATCAAAAATATTGCAATAGAATAAGTTATAGAAACGTCCGATTCTATGGATTTCTTCTACGGGCTATTTTCCATTAAACATTTTAATTCAAAGAAACCTAACAGAAGTTCAATAGAAATTCAAGAGAATTTCCCAGCGAATTCGCAAGCTTTCTCAATGAAATTATTTCGCACGTCAGATCTATTTTCAATGAATGAAAGAATATTTTCTCAATGTTGTTTCATTTATTTTCTACTTGAGCAACACTTTTTTCATTTACAGAAGAAGCAGAGGAGGAATTAAAGTAGAAAAAATAAAACTTTGATTTATAAAAATGCAACTTTTCGAGTTACTAGATGAAAAAAAGAAGTTTCTTCAACAAATTCATCAAATGATACAATCTCTCCAGTTAGATAAGTTATTCCCACATTTTTGTGAATAAAAACACAATAGTAGTCAAGGGGGCACGCAGTTTAATTGTCTTACAGTACTTGATGATCGTCTAAGAAATACTCCTATAGCAAAAATACTATGTGTTACTTACATAAATATATAACTTACTAAAATTCTTTTGGAGATTAATGTTGCCTAGTGTAACATAGGTTTCTTGTTCCTCTCCTCTATATAATTTTTCACGCATGAAAAAATTTAATAGAAATTTTTCAATTGAAATTTCATTCGCTCTTCTGAAATTAATTATTTTCTTTTCCAAATATTTTTAATAAATATTGAATGGAAAAAAAATGATTTTCTTTTTTTCATAAATCTTATTCCACTGTTTTATTCATCTATTTTATGCATTTTATTTTACTCCATCATTTTATTCCATCAGTCCCCAAGTTTTTTCATTTCATTAGTATTTTTTTCTCTTCTGATGAAAATCATGTGGAAAAACCCTTGGAATTTTTTCATTTTAATTCTACTGATCTTTTTTGCTTTAGTTGAGAAATTTCGCAGCTTTTCCAGGTGTCTCTATTTCATAGATTTTTCTTTATTTGTATTATTTTTATTTTCTTATGATTTTTATCATTTTTATTGATTTTTCTACGCAACTCATTGGCCTGAAATTTTTCCATTAATTTCATTACAGTCTAGCATTTTATTCCATCAATTCCCAAGTTTTTTCATCATTATTTCCTGTCTCATGATAAAAATCACGTAAAAAAACAATCTCAACGAAATAAGTTGTCTGGAAAAATCAAAACCTATTAATTTTTTCTATAAAAGATCTATTCTAAATTTCTACAAAAAAAAACACGAAAAAAAACGGAATTTTTTTGTAAAATCGTCGAAAAACAAATAAACTGTCCAGTAAAAATCCGATAAAATCAATGAATTGCCTAATGAATGGGCTGATTTATCTATTAAATTTTTTCATCCATGTAAATTCCAGACAGACGTGAGTACCGCTTATCCCCTCATATTACTCTACAAATACTGCTCGAGAAAGTACACTAAAAGACACATTCACCTCTAATGCTTCCTTCCCCCATTCAAGTATCTTTATTAAAGATGTTTCTGCAAGGAAATACATACACGCGTTCTTCATCTTTCGAACAATACGATGGTGATAATTTTTATTTCATAGTTATTAACATTTGTTCGATGTTCTCGTTTCGGTTTTTCAATCTCCTTTATTGCGAGTCAGGGACATCTTCACATCTCACCTCGTTATTCGAAATTTCAATATTGTAGTATACTATCAAAAGCTCTGGTTTAATCGACTCAATTGTCATGGTACAGATTTATCATCATTTCTGGTTCTGATGGAATTTATTGAGATTCTCTTTACACGTGTGAAAAAAAATTCTTAGAAAAATCTAGTTTTCTCGAAGAAATTCTATTAAATTCTATTGGAGTTCTATTACAATTCTACTGAGAGATTCTATTTTTCTCTACCCCAACTCTATTAAAAATTAGTATTATTATTACTATTATTATTAATATTTAATATTATTTAATAATTATTAAATTATCAAATTATTTTAATAATAAGTAATATTATTAACATTATTATTCTATTTAACGTTTTTCAATGGATTTTTAAATAGATTCCAGTAGCGAAGCGGTAAAACGGTTCAAGTGAATTTTGACTATTGGCCAGTTTTCAATGAATAACTCGGAATCTAGGGGTGATAGCCAAATTTTCATCATAATCTTTTTTATAGAGCGAATTAATGGCTACAAAAAAGGTCATTACGAAAATTTCGCAATCCTTCTTAGATTTGGAGATATTCCTCAAAAACTGAGTCGGGGTATAAATTGAAGTGTTTTAGTTCCCCCCTACTGATTTGTTTATGGAAAAATGTCTATATCGGGATTTTTTCTACTGAAATTCTTGAGCATGGTTTTGTAAAATTTTCCTTGATTTTATTATGAGAAATGAATAAAAAATTTAACGAAAAAATTGGAAAATTTACGTTCAAGAATTTCTATAGAAAAAAATCTATTGATTATTAAGGTAAGCTTACCCAATGTTGAAAAACGAATAAAATTTTTTAATAAAATTCTAATAAAACTTCAAAAAAATTCTTATAGAGTTCCAACAGAAATTTAATAGAATTTCCTAGAGAAAACTCTGTTTTTGTCTGTTAATTTTTTTCATGCGTGTGGTTTTAGGATAGAAAGCGATGGAAATGAAAGGAAGTTCCATTTTCAGTGAAGATTGATTCTGCATTGAAAAATCAGCGCGAAAAATCTGAGAAGAAATCATGAAAATTTTATCGAAAAATTCAGAAGTCATTCCCTGAATTATTAAAACCCATAAAAACGTGACTAAAAACCTTTCACCTCCAGATATATTCGTAATATTCAACAATATCACCACAATGATGAATGTTGCTCCACATTCATTCCATTAAAAAACCCAAGAATGTAATTTTTCGAAAACAAATTTTATTTCAGGGATTCTTCCACTCGAATATCCTCAAGACGAAAACAATGATAAAATAGTCGACGAAGACTCCAATATTACAATGTACCATTTCGGGCGAATGAAAATAATAAAGAAACAAAACGTACGAAAAAATTTAATATAAAAACCTAGTAAATTCCCTAGTCAATTCCATTAAATTTTCATTGAAATCTATAGAATTATCTATATAGAATTCGATGTTTCCACACAACTTATTCTATAGTAATATTTTCTCCAGAATTTCCTCAACTCAATTTTCCCAATTTTTCTTGTTTGATTTTCTTCTTGAAAATAAAAGAAAAATAGAGTGAAAAAAACTTGGAAAATTTGACTGCATCAAATTCTAGCGAAAATATCTCAATAGACTGAGTTTTACAGAAAAATCGAATTCCATTGACTGTTTCCACAGAAAAACTAATAGAAATTTCAATAGAAATCCAGTAGAATTGTCTAGCGAATCCCTAGTTTTTTCTATAAATTTTTTTCATGCGTGAATCAATGATCCCATGATTGAAGTTACTCTCCAATACCCAACACAGCCGAATGAGCCGAAATAATGTGACAGAAGTGCCGTATACTATCTCTACCCCAAACGTTAAATCTCTCCCGTACTTTAGTTGTGCATCTCCCTTGTATTACTGTGCATATCCTACAATATATGATATTTCGAAGATATTGCATATTTTTGTTGACTAAAAAAATATATATGTATACATATTTACTATATTTCATATTGCAAAATATTTTGCGATCATGTCATTATGCGCATATTCATAGTAGCTATAACAATGCAGAGTATTTTCATCCCCTCTACCCTTTATTTTTTTTAATCGTAAAAATCTCAAACCCTCGGGTGTGCGAAGCCCAAATGAATCAAAAACTTGGCATCAGGTGGTTGATTTACAGCTGTTCAACAGCACGTGGATGAGTTCATTCAATATTTTATTTCATAAGTTTATCGAAGTATTATTTGGTCTTTCTTTTATTGCTCTGCACGCCCACCTGCGGAAAATTCTGTGGAGATTTTATGGAGAATTCAGACATTTCCTACAAAAATTTTGTCAATAGGAGAGTTTATTAAATTTTAAATTTTCTACGAAAATTTATGAAAAGAAATAATTCGGTTTTTGGTATAAGAGTTGTAGAAAGGATTTTTTGCAGTAGAGTATTTCATGAAAATTCTATTGCTGCATTAAAAATTATTATATTTTTTTTTCAAAAAAAATCCGTAATTTCCCTATTCACCCCAGCGAAAATAATTATGGAGAAATATTGCCTTAATATTTTATAATGATTGATTGAAAATCAGACGTTTTCGAGACCTATTATTTCGGTCATGACGTCACAAAGTGGCATAAGTAGTGCTGGGCATCAGCGATTTCAAAGCGTTTGATATCTTCAACTTTCGACAATCAATTATTTTTGTCAAAATATTAGTTTTTGTAATAATATTCATTTTTTGACTTGAAATTCAAACAGGATTTTCTCGTATGAAAATTCCCATAGGAAATTCCCCTCACAGTTAGATCCGTAGAAAAACCAATTTCCTATTAAAAAAAAAAAGTTCTATGAAAAATTCTGTACGAAACTTTTTAATACGAAATTTCGGCTCTGAATAAAGAAAAATTGAAAATAAAAATTGCAGCGCTTTTCTGATAAAAAATTCTATTTTCATTTTTAAAAAGTTATATGAAGAATAATAGGAGACTCTATGAAAATTCTAAAAAATCCTGGAACTTCATCTTTAAAAATTACAATTTTTCACGCAAAAATTCACTAAAAACTCTTGGTAAAAATTCATTTATGGAAATTTTGATCCTACAAATCGTCCCATAAGAAATACTATTATTACAGCCCTACAGGGGACTATTTTATAAAAATCTTGATCGTAGACAAGAAAAATGTGTTTAATTTTTCTTATAAATTTGTTCTCCATAGGGAATTCCACTCCCTACAGCCCTGTAGGCATTCGCCTGCGAAATGCACGAATTCTCATCACTAAAATTCCACAGAAATTCTTCATACGTGAACACAATTCTCATCTTCAAAATCACAATTTATAAACCTGTATTCCACGCTCGTGAGGCGAATCAAATCCATCCCTCGAGTACTCAAAAATTCGTACAATTGAATCCATAATATGAAATGTCCTACAACACCCACTGCAGAGGGTTAATTGATGCATAAAACCAAAGGAAAACATAATCTCCGAAACGTCCGTGTAAAGTTGTATTGTCAATCCATGGCACTGACGTTAACTCACACCGTGAATACTTCCTCGATACCCACAAAACAAATAAATCAACTAATTATATCCTGTACATGAATTAGAGATTACAGTTAAGAGCCATTAATCCATGGTCTTGATGAATTCAATAGCAGAGCAGAATTGTGTCCACCAGTATTGCTCCTCACCCTCGAGACGATTTCCGTAAAAACTGTCGACGTATTGTACTGTTGACAGCAATGACGGTGGATTTGCCTAGAATGAAAACAAAATGAACGAAACAATTCCTTTTCTTATTAAATTATCTCCCATCATGTTGCATCATATTTTTTTATAATGCATTTAAAAATAATTTAACAAAATTATTTAATTTAATAATTAAATAATTATTTAATTTACAATAATTTCTTTAATAATGATTGGTTTATTTTGTAATGTAGAACAAAATAAATAAAACTATTCCTTTTTCTTATTAAATAGACAATATTTTATAGAAAACATCAACAGAATTAGAGGCGTTCCTTTCTCTACAACTTATTCTATTGAGATATTTTCGATAGAATTTTACTGACTCAAATTATCTAATTTTTTTTCATTCTATTTTTCTTTTCTCTACATCAAGAAAATCAAACAAAAAACTTAGATATCTGAATAAAATGAGTTGTGTAGAAAAATCGAATTTTATCAACTTTTTCTACAGAATATTTTCCATTCAACATTTCAATAGAAATCCAATAGAATTGTCTAGATGTTTTCGTAAAAATTCCCCAATTCAGCGTTAAATTTTTTAAATAAAGAAGAATATTGTTATTCGTCATTGCAAATTTTTCAGTCTAAATGACTTCAGTCTCGCTATTTACCCCCAAATGCCATCAATTCGTACGCGACAAAAAAAAATTCCTCCAGCCCAAACCCCCACCGAAATTACCTTAATGATGACATAAACCAGAACAGGAATGAGATCATCAGCAGCGGGGATGCCCCTCTCGGAGGCCATAGAAAGTAGATTCATGATAGTGGTGGCACACCTGAAGACACACTGAAGCTTATCCCTGGGTGTTTTATAAGCCGATATGACAGCCAGCTCAGCCTGTGCCCAGGGCCAAGGGCACTCATAATGATAGACCTTAGGGATCCTCAGATCCTTATGATTGGGTGTGACCACCTTCGACAGTTTCTTAATATGATCCTGAAACAGCTGATCCCTGTAGACATCCCCATCTCCATTCGGATAAAGTGCATTGTGATAAACCCTCGCCATGAGAGTCCTCTCGACAACGACCTTGGCCATCTCCAGCTGTACCTCACTGGCCGCCTGCCAAATAGAATCCCCCTCCATCTCCGAATTGATCTTCCCCAGAAAATGATCGACAAGATCCTGCTTCTCATCAGCAACCTTGAGCTTCTGAAATTCATCGCAGAACCTGAGCACCTGAGGCTCTCGTTTCTCCAGGAAAACCCTGACACAAACAGCAACAAGATGACTGTTAACAGCATCTCTGTCGCACTTGACCCTCTCCCCAAGCCTCTCCAGATGTGCCAGAGTGGACAGCAGTCCCTGCTTGCACCTGATCAAATATGCAATGTAAGGAGACCTTTTCTGATAGTCCTCCTTCAGCGAATTAAACAGCTTCCTGCAGCCCTCGTCATTGAACAGCCTGACACACCTCAGAGTCTCGTGCAAATGGGCGATCAGTGCCCTGTCCTGAAGATTGATAGCCTCAGCCAACTGCAGCTGCAGAAAAGCCACAAGTTCGTTCTCCTTCTGCACCCAGGGACTCCTCTCAGAAGACACACTCCAGGGTATGTGCTGCAGGTCAGCTGTGCTCAGAACCATCCTCAGCTTGCGTTTGGCATCGGCAAAAGCGAACGACAACTCCACATTATTAACGTCAATCAAGAGCCTCTCGTCCTCCGCCTCCTTCGTCCTCGATTGGCTGCTCTCCACAGAGGCTGTATCACTAGTGGCACTCGGTTTCCTCCTGTATTTGGCGAGAATATCCTCGGTGCTGTCCCCATTGGCATTATTCGTGGCTGATGTGTCCTCAGACATGATCCTCCTGAGCCTGTGCCTGCCCACCTCCCCATCAGTCTCGTCGTAGCACCGAGCCAGTTCGTCTCCCCTGGGTGACTTTCCCCTTCTGCTCCTCAACGACATCTTGAATTTGCTGAAGAACCCTCGCTTGTTCTTCTGGTCGTCATCCAGCAGCTCCTTGTCCCCCCTGGCAGCAGTCATATCGAAGCTTATGCTCTTTGGAATGGCCCCTGTCGATATACTGGGCTTGGCCCCACTGGCCCCATCGGGAGTGCCCTCAGGGGCCAGAGCAACTCTAGGCACCAGTATCTCCGGAGTTGACGTTGCATTCTTGGATTTATCTGAACTCGATGCCGAGCCTGAGCTGCTGGAGGCGAGACTCGCTGTGCTCAGCCTGACAACTGGATCAGGCTCATCGTGCTTGGCATCGCCATTCAGAACCAGAGGCTTACCACTGCCCTGGGACTCATTTCCCTTGCAGCTCCCGTCGATGTGGAGCTTCTCGATGAGTCCAACGAGCCCATCGTCATTCACAGACTTCCCATACTCGAGATTGCTGATGTTGTTGGCGTTGTTGTCGACGTACTCCATGGTGCTGCGACGATAATCAGACCTTGTGCCCCCACGACCAGTGACATTCCCCTGGACAGGAGCTGCCCTGCCAATGGGGTCCTCTCGAATGGGTCTAAACAGGGGCCCAGCTCCATCGACCTGGAAGCCACTGGGCTCTGGGTGCTCCTCGCCACCCTCGGGCTCACCTCGACTCTCCACCTCCACCTCGGACCTAGCAGTGTCATCAGAACGTGCCACACTGGCTGTGTCATCAGTGTCAACTTCAGTTAGACGTTCAGAGTCACTGGCTAAAACGTCTGTGCTCCAGGCCTCAGAAGCTGTTTCACTGACGTCAAGCAGGCCTGGGGGCACTGGCAGCACCTGTGGCACCTCGACAGCTGGCGGTGGAGGAAAGGGAAACCTCTCCTGCTGCTCCACCGTCTCGGAGTCCGAAGCCAAAACATCAGTCGACCAAGTGTCTGACACCAGGGAAATAGTCTCATCCCCTTCGATCAATTTTTTAATCTCAAATTTACAGAACTTGTCGTCTATTTCTGAACGCGACTGCTTGGTGGAGATCGTCGGCGGTGGAAGGTCCAGGGGCCTAGCCTCGCCCTCGGTTATCTGTGAGGATGGGGTGTCCCTTCCTGAGATGTTGGGGGTCCCCCTCCCTGAGACATTGGCTGACACCATGTCAGAGAGATTGTCGTTCTGATCCTCTGTCTCCAGCTCCAGGGAGGACGCCACCGAGTGGTTGGAGGCTGCCTCCGAGACCGCCTCCAGATTATCAGAGGTATTTCCAATCGACCCCTCGAAGAGGACTTCATCGTGTGACAAAGAAAATCTAGTTCTCTTCTCCTGGGTTTCGTTCCTCTCCGAGGTACTGCTCTCTCGTCTCTCGTTTCCATTTCGTAAATTGGAATTCAGTCGGGCTGACTCTGACGCCAGGTTGTTCTGGATCCCCATGCAGAGGATCTTCTGCTCGCTCAGCAAGCCCACGGACTCCCCAACGACTGGGCCAAAGGGGATCACCAAAACGTCCTGGGATTTGTCAGGAAAGTCGTCCTCTGGGCCTGAGGCCCCATTGGTCTCCTCAGCGCCATCTGGAGCCCCTGAGGAAGACGCCGAGGATATCCTACCTCCCCGACCCCTCGACACCTTCCCCAGGAGGCCCCCTCGCTTGCTGGGTGTCTCCGGGGAGACATTCACCGTTTTATTGATGGAGACGCCCCCCAGGGGCAGGTGCCCCATCATCTCCTCGAGCTCCTTTCCCCCAGTCACCTCCTCCTTCCCCCCAGACTCCTCTGTCCTCGTATTAACAATCTGCAGGAATTGAATCAGAGAGTTCAATTCACCCTCCGTGAAGAGGGCAGCCGACCTCGTCAACCCCTGGAGCTTTGTATTATCGATGATGGTGGGCTCCTCGTGGAGATCGTCACTGGTCCCCTCGAGCATCGAATCAATGATCGACGATATTGAATCCTTCTCGAATTTCCTGTACAGATCCATGACTTTGGTGTCGATGGTCTGATACTTCATGAGCGACAGCATCTGGAGGATCTGCCCCACCTGCATCAGGTTGAACCTCGCGACGTAGCTGATGGGGGTGTCGGTGATCCCGTAGGGCTCAGGGTTGACAATGGCTGGGCACACGAAGTACGTGAAGACGAGGTCTGTGCACATGGCGTGGACCTCCTTCTGGTCGACATTTCCACTTTTTGTGAGCAGCCCAGCCATCTGTCGAACCAGCCAGCAGACGCTGGTGGGGAAGCAGTGCATGTTCTCGCGAATGCTGACGATGAACCTCGAGGTGATTCTCACGAGAGAGTTGACTGTCCAGAGGCGATAGCGTTGGAGGCGTGATTGGTACTCAGGTGTTCCCTCTTTGCCGAATCTCTTCATTCTCTCGACTGGTGGGAACCTTATGGGCGCCTTGTCGGGGTCAATGTCCAGGAACATCTCGTCCTCCATGAGGAGCTGGGTTATGGGGGCGTGCAGGGCTGCTGTGAGGAAGAGTTTGGCTGAGAAGAGGCTCTCGTGGAATACTGAGTAGAATCTTGAGAATGCACAGGTGCCGTGTCGAAGGAGTCGTCTGGGGTTGTCTGAGGGGACTATCTGGAGGAGCATCAGGTGTCTCAGGAGCTTCAGGACGAAGAGCTTGTCCTCGGGGAGGAGGCAGCTGCCGTAGAGGCCTGCTGAGAGCGTCTGGATGATGCTCTGCATGCCCTCCGGCATCAGCTTGTCACCCTCCACCAGGCATGAGGCCAGGAGCTTTGGGGATTTTCTCAGGGTGCAGAGGAACTCACCGTAGGTCAGGCAGGACTGGTAGCGCAGGTGCTTGAAGGCCTCCACGAAGTGCGAGCTCTCGAGGGTGTTTGAACGCTGGCAACAGATCGCTGGACTGCAGTCGGGGCGAGCCACTATCAGGCGGTTCAGGTTCACTCGTTGCTGATCGGTTATCCAGGCCTGCTTCGCCAGGTCGGAGGAGAGCGAGAGCACCTTCTCGTTCAGCAGCTGGAGCGTCTGCTGCTCCGAGTGCACGAACAGCCGCTCCTGGCGGAGGTGACCTGCCAGCTCTAGCATGTCCCAGTGGAAGGTGCCTAGGGAGTCTACACTGTTCACGGACGACATTTCTCGGGGTTCGTCAGGCTGCGGCGGCGGGCATTCACTGGGCGGAACTCGGCGGGCTCACATTGGGGAACTGCTGGAGGAACCAACAGGGTTAGTTCGGAGCGCGAGGGGAAATTGAGGAGAAACACGGACGGAATTCGATTGGAAAGTCTTGATTTCTAGGGATTTCAGTGGTTTCATTGGGTTTTTTGGGAGATTTTGTTGAAGAGGTTTTGTGGAGATTATAGAAAGTAGAAAATTTTTTGTATGAATAATTAGGAGTCTTTTTGTACTTTTTCTAGGGAGGCATTTTGTGTAGAAATTCTTCAATATGGATTTTCCGAGTTTTCAAGTTTCTTTTTTCCTTCGCTTGTCATTTTCAAAATTAAACAAAAAAAAATAGAAAATTTGAGGCCAGGATAGAAAATTCCAGAACTTATATTGAAAATTTCATTAGTTGTTGATTATAATTTAATATTTTGGGATGGACAAGGTGAAATTAGACAACTGAGGCCTCATATTCAAGGTATTTTCAATATCTTTAAGAGATCAGATTCACTGATATCGTATCATTGAGCCAGGAGATATTCAAAGATATTTTTTCAACAGTTTTCTGAAAAAATTTCAAAACCCAAAAAATTTGAATTTGATTAGAAGTTGATATCTCAGGATTGGCTAAGTAAAATTTGGCGACTAAGCCCTCATTTTGAAGATATTTTCTTCATCTTTAAAATAAGACTAGACTCATCCAAATCGCATCATTCCGTCAGGAGATATTGGAAATTTAAGAAAGTGCTTTTTATCTCACTCTCTCCTAAGTCAATTCCCCTCTACAACAGACAAGTTTTTGCAAAATACTTTAAACTCCAAGTGAAAATTCCAAATTTCACGACCCAATGAAGTTCTAAAAAAAAAGAATTTCTCCCAAAAATTTTGATATCCCCCTAAAATTCCAATAAAGTCCCCAAAAAACTCACGACGAAATCACTTCTAATGACCTCCTTCCACCACTTCCCCACTGAATTAATCACCGAAATAATGAAAACAATATGATAATTATTACAACATACCACAGAACTGTAATCTCCTCAGCCCAACCAATCAGATTCTGTTCTGTTCTGTAAAAAGAAAACGAGGAGAAAGTTGAATTTCTGGAATGCAATGAGTCAATAAAAATCGTTTCATCATCAAATCCGCGTAAAATTGCGACAGAAAAAACTGCAAATGCCGACAATCTCTCTCACGACAAAGGAAATAACGGACGATGGTTCCATGAATTCTCGACAGCCTTCAATTTCCGCCAGATGAGATTTAGCGCAAAATGCGAAAGAGAAAAAGAGTCTCAAAAATTCCATAATTTTCCTTTTTCAATCTTCCACACGTGCCCTTCTGATTCCCCTATCGACGGAATACGAGTGATAATGGCATTGAGACGATAAAGAACACGGGCGGAACGTCACCTGAGTAAAGTTTGATTACAACGATCTGCTGGGAGTCACAAATGAACTCATGATCATCCAAAACATATTGACACGTAACACATTGTACTACATACCAGGATAAATCGTGTCGGTACCCCTTGGTACTGGAGTCGAGGTGGTTATTGTTGACGATTACACTGTACTCCTCTTATTTTTTATACTGAGAACACTCACAGTTACACCCCCAACAGATAGACAACCATTTTCTATTTTAGGTTAGGTGATAATTTTATTTTTCACAATGCAACTAATGGCCGTAGGTGTGTTGTGTACGCTTTAAATCGAGGCTTCGACTCATCGAATCGAATGTTGTGAAGGTCAAAAACTGCCGCTGAAACAATAACATGACCTGGGAAAGTTTTTTTGAACAATGAAAATTGGGCTCCCGTGGGATTTCGAGGGCTTTCTTCGGTGGATTGAGGCTGAGCAGGTGAGGGTTTCATGGGATTATGCTGAGACGAGATTCAAAATTTCATAGAAATCTGGAAATTCCATTGAATTTCTGTTGAAGTTTACGTTAGCGTTTGGCTGATGCTATTGAAAAATTCTGTAGTTTACTTATATAAATTTATTTTTTAATAGGGAGGTAATATTAAAGGAATTATTAAGAATAAAATAGTTCAATGGGAATTACATGGATTATTCTACTGAGATATTGTCTATAGGAATATCTTGCCTCAAATTTTCCAAGTTTTTTGTTTGATTTTGTCAATGAGAAATAAGTAAAATTTTAGTGAAAAAAAATTTCTTTAAACTTCAAAAATTAATGTCGAGGATTTCTGTAGAGAATTCCTCATGATAAAAAATTCTATAGAAATATGAAACCCCATTGATTTTTCCTAGAAAATAGTTCCTAAACACTAATGCAATCTCCAACAGAAATTGAATTCTTCAATAGAATTGTTGAAATACCAAACGTGTGGAAAATTCACTAGAAAAATCCAGCGCGTTCTCTGACGAATTCCATTGGATCCCTGTAGAAACTATAGCTATACAATTTTTTTTTAAATTTATTTTATCGATGACATTGCCCCAATAGAATTCAATTTTTCTATATAACTTATTCTATTGAGATATTTTCTATAGAATTTCCTCGGCTCAAATTTTCTAAGTTTTTTCGTTTGATTTTCTTGATGAGAAGAAAAGAAAAATAGAATGAAAAAAAATTTGAGTCGAGCAAATTCTGTAGAAAATATATGAAAAGAATAAGTTAGATAGAAAAATCGAATTCTGTTGACTTTTTCTATTGAATGTTTTCTATTGAACATGTCAATAGAATCAGCCAAAAACTAATAGAAACTTTAATAGAAATTCAGTAGAATTTTCTAACGAATTCGATAGGTTTTTCTATTAAATTTTTTCGTGCGTTTAATAAAATCTAGTGCAGTGTTGAGAGACTATGGTGAAAAGAAATTTTAAGAGCCTAGAAATTGATCAATCGCTCAAATTGTGATACTGTGACATTATCATCAGTTGTTATGCATTATCGATATAAAAACAATTTATTGGAGTGTTATCAATTAGATATTTTTGTTTGGCTTGTGTAGATGTAGAACTGCAACAGTAACATCAAGGAAATAAAGTATTCTCTTCTATCCTATTCCCTCACATTACAGATCCCCAAGAAAATGGAGACCCAAACGACAGCAGAATCAGGTTTTGGTTTCCTGGTACGACTGGCATCGAGACCCAGATTCCTGAACATAGAAACCAAGCTCTTTCCCAATGGTCTCCTCGCTAAGCAGACTGTCGAAATATGCGGCGACACATCGACTGGAAAAACTCTGCTCTTGTCCCAACTCATGACGAAGTGCCTCCTTCCCCCTGTAGTCGAGGGCCTAGGAATCAGGATCCTACTGCTCAACACAGACCATCACTTCCTCGTCTCCAAGCTCTTCAAGTTGATGTCAAGCATCTTGAAGAATAACTGGGGAAAATCCGACGCCGAAGCCGAGAAGATCATCCGTGAATCCCTCTCTAATCTGACTATCATCAACTGCTACGATTACTCTCAATTAATGGTATCCCTGCACTCGTTGGATCTGATGCTCTTGAAGGAGGAGGCCGTCAGTCTCATGATGATCGATAGCATCTCATCGTTCTACTGGGTGCACAGAGAGCGAAATGGTCTTTGCACGTTGGATCATTACGTGAAGAATCTCCTCAGAATAATCCAGAAGCACACATTCCAGGCGAACGTCCCTCTGATCTACACAAAATCCTGTGAAACTGGCTGGAATGTTCGGGAGAGGATTAATTGTACTACCGAACCCACTCCTGAGAGCATCAATCACAGGATAACATTAGAGAGTAATGACAGGGGATTCAATTGCAGAGTCGAGACTTCGAGTGAACAAGAAAATTTTCATTACAGAATTACTGATGATGGAGTTCATTGGCTTTGAATAAAACTTGAAAATTAAAAAATTTCTATTAAAATTGAATGGAAGAAGCTACACTGAGAGAAAAACGACAAAGTTCTCAAACAAGTCTTACCTGTGCCAAGAAAATAGTTTTTTGAAAATTATCAAAAAAGGATTTTTTGTGCCAAACATGCACAGAGTGCGCCGGAGTGAAAAATTTTTGTCGCAAAAATAGATTTGGTAGTTAAAAAAAAATTGCATTCTCTGTGCATGTAAGAAATGTCATTTTTAGCACTACTCCTTCGTTATTCGATACTCCCACACGTATTTTGCTCTCGAAAAATCTTTGTTTTGTGCGAAACAAGAGATAGCAGTTTTTCGTTTCGGCTGTCTAGTAATCACAGACAAGAAATGAACCCTTAAATGAAACAATAATAATGATGTGATAGCAATCTTGTAACTTGGGGATAAAATATTTGTTGATAAATTTTCCTCTATGAGATATTTTCATCCTGAAAAGGCACCTTCTGGTGTGAATCATCCGCCTCTTGAGCCAAATATTTTGTAGCTATCGAAAGCAGAACACTTATTCATGTTTGAGACTTTCCAATTCGAACCAAACAAATTCTTTTTTGGCAATTTTCAACTAGCGATTTTGTGGGCCCAAACAAGACTTGTTTGACAACGTTTTTTTTTCTCTCAGTGTAGTGCCTTTTTTCTCAATTGTTTTTGTAAAAAATATTGGAAGGAAAATTTGAATTCGTGGGAAATGAAATGGCTTTATTCAAATATTAAAATTTGATAACAGTATTCTGTCAGCAGTATCCATTGGTGTCAACAATCTGCAACCAGCGAGAGTTATTCGAGGAATGTTTGCATTTTGTGATGATAATTCTTCGACTATTCTCGCCTCTTCGGCCGTCACGCCCCCTAATACGTAAATGATTATCCAGGGATTGTCTGTCGGGTGATGTTGCACTCGTCCTTTCGTCAATAAACTAAAAAAAGAATTTTTAACTGATTGAATTTCAATTTTAAAATACGTATGGAAAGACTCCATCAAAAATCCTCAATTTCCAAAGTTTTTTTAAATACTGGATTTAATGATTCATATGAATTCATCTTTTATTCATATCAATTGAATAAAATTATTATTGAACATATAATAATTGAAAGAATGCGATTTAAATGAAAAAAGTTGAGATTATGAGAGTTATTACTTGAATCCAGCAGAAATAAACGACGAAGTTTTCATCTTCAAATCTGCAATCACTGGTTTCGACGGGTGAATGAGGTCTCTCAAAATTCTCTCCACAACCCCCACACACTGTGCCATCTCCTGTGGGCTCGGTTTCATAATGATGGACCCATACTCCTGCAACTCTCGTCGCTGAGAGGCTATCAGATGCAGCATATCCACGATCTGCTCGGTTATCTTCCTCGCAAATTCCCTGGCTGTGCCTTCATCAGTCGCCCCCAACAGGAGCAACGTCTGCTGATAAACCGAAACTTCGTGAGTGATTACAGCATCATTACACCTCTGTATATCTTCGAAAATAGCTTCTGTCAAGGCTGCCCTGAGCTGATCCTCTTGCTGAGGAGGAAAGTGAATTTCAGTACCAGCCATTGCGTAGATGTGGATCAGGAGGACCAGGAGATTCTCCATGTCCAGTCCTCTGGAGGTTCGATTTTTTATTATATTGCTTATCTGTGAAATTAGAAGGTTAATATCAATATTCTCAGGAAAACATTCATAAGATAATCAAATTAACAGATAAAAATTGCAGAAATTGCGAGAATTCCAAAATAAAAATCATGATTAGGGGAAAGGATGAGGTACAACTTACACTCGTGTATGTGTAAATTTTTTTTTATAGAAAACTCATTTTTAGATAGGAATTTTATTTGAATTTTTTTGATTTTTAAGAAAACATCTGTTTTATTTTATTTTTATTTTGTATTCTATTCTTTTGAAAAATTATGCAACTGCCAGATTTTTTTTCTCAATAGATATTTTTTCATAGATGGAGGTAAATAGTTCAATAGTGCTTCAAAAAAATTTATCAAATAATGACAAAGGAAAGTTACCATTCATGACTTCGAAATATTCAAAGAAAAAAAATTGTCCACTCCAATCGACAATTCCCTATTCTGAGACTGATAATAATAAAAATAAGAAGCACTCGTGATTCTAACAATTTCGATAAAAATATGAGGTAATTGTAAATAATAAAAAATATGAATCGATCGCACCTGTGACAAAACACTTGTAGATTCCCGACTAACAGCCAAATTCTGCAGAATTAATTTTTCTAAACTAATGAGAAGATCCAACTGCGCAGTTTTTTCAGACTTCAGGGACTGTATGACAGCCAGAATAATTTGAAGTTTCTTGCTGTACTGAGCTAGAAGTTTTGGGCTCTCGGTGGCCCGAATTTTATGGATTAGTTTTTCCAGACTATGAGCACTGACTCGAGTCGACAATTTGGCCTTGGGGCTCTGCAGTTCCTTCGAGAGCATCTCGATCAGCCATTTGTTGAGTGTTAACAGCACGTCCTTTTGTTTCTTGGCGATGAGAAGGTTGAAATTATGGTTTTCTGAGGTGGCTAGACAGCCTGACACTGTCATCGATCGAGGGCTCTCCTGGAAATCGCGAGTGAGACTCTTTCAGTGATTTTTGAATGGCAAAATTTTTTTATTTTGTCTTTTAACGAAAAAAAATTTACATTTTCTTCTAAAATGGTTTTTTCATCATGACATAAATGTGAAAATTGAGGATTCGTGGGAGAATACATATCGACGAAATATGAAAAATTTTAAACTCAATTTGTCAAAACTAATTCTAACAATTTAGGAAATTCGGTTGGAAAAAAATTGAAATTTCATAGACAGTCCGACTAGTAATTTTCAGAAGAATTCCATTGAATACAATTTAAGAGAGGAATTGAACTGAAATTTACAGTTCTCACTGATTTTTCCCTGGAATTCTGAATTTTCACTGACGAAATTCCTTGAAATTTTAGTGAAACTAAAATGTCATAAAAATTTCCAAGTACTGAGAGTGTCATCCAAAAATTTTTATCACTGCACACGTTTTCTCTGAATTAATTAAGTCATTACCTCTGAACCTGGGCATAATGGAGCCATGTTCACAGCCACATCATTGTTGTGATAGGTAAGACGTGGAAGTGTGCATAATATTCTCGACAGAACGCATTCCGTATTATTTTTAGTTGCTGTACATAAATCCAGTGTTCTGTCAATGAGAATTAGACTCACACCAGACTGTCCAATCAGCATCTGCAGAAAAAAAAACAATTTCGTGAACATTTCAACGGTATAATCACGTGGAATTTGATTTCAGTAGAAATTCAATCACTTTTCTCCTGGCAACTGCTGCAGGCAGATCCAACAACCTTCCAGCAACATATTCACTGAATTCCCCTAAAGTATAAATGTCCTCTTTGATGTCAAAGTGTGTGAAGATACTGTGGAGTGAGCTCACAAAGTAATTGACACTTGACTCGTGTTCGTCTGTTATTTTTCCATCGATTGAAGGCATCAGCCTCTCCATGGGTGGAGTGACGAAGACGTTTTTAGTTATTGGAGCGGTGACGATGGGTCTGAATAAAATCTCCACCGATATTCCCTGGGAAATATTGCGAATGAACATTGTGAATAAACAATTGTAAGGATATTATCCCCAGAATTTAATGGCAAAGTATAGGAGATACATTAATCCAATTGAGAGTTGAGCTTTTTCTACAAATATTTAGGGAAAACAAAGGGAAATTTTAGTGCAGATATTTAACATTATTATTCGACATTATTACAGTTATTAAAAATTGTCAGTGAACAGTGTGAACAAACAATTCTAAGAATTTTATCAGAACAGAAAATGTTCTTTTTGTAATAGAAAATGTCGAATCTGGGCGTGATTTTTTCAAGTTTCTTTCACTCTATTCTTCTTTCCTTTCCATAAAAAATGTCAAACAAAAAATTTGGAAAATTTCAGGGGAGGAATTTCCATAAAAAATATCCCAACAGGTTAAGTTGTGTAAAAAAATCTAATTATATTGATTTTTTCCACAGAATATTTTTCATTGAACATTCCGAGTGAAAATAACGTGCAAAAGTCTGCGGATTTGTTCAATAGAATCAACCAAAAACTAGTAGAAAATTCGATAGAAATAAAATAGAAGTTTCCAGCGAATTCACTAGGTTTCTGTGAATTTTTTCGTACATTTCGTTAATTTAAGTATGAAAATTTCAACGTACAGCAAGTGGAGCGCTCTCCTTCATCCAACCCGAGACTTGTTCTCTCAATTTCTCGTAATGTTCCTCTCCATCGCAATTGAAAACTGTGCTATGAACTGCACACACTATTACGCAGTTTTCGAATGTATTTTTTTCTATGATTGTGTGCAGAGTTCGTTCGTAGAATGCTGGGTCCGATGATGTGATGATAATCACCGCCTTTTTCGTGTTCTGAACTTTGACGTACTGTAAAGGAAAAAAATTTCTCAATTTCAAGAATTAAATTCCCTTCGACTTTCTAATTGCTAAAGTTTAAATATGGTCACTTTTGATTTTTTTTCAATGTTCATGACGTCTTTAATTGGTGAACAAATGGAGTAATTTAATTTTTCAGTTGAAAGAACAATTCTTCCCCTTTATGATGAACCTAGACTGAGCTCAATGCATAAATCTGTTTCTGAGTTATGGATAGGGGAGGGTGGGGTAAAACGGACACTTTCGACTTTTTAAAAATTATTCATAACTCAGAAACAAATTGATCGATTGAGCTCAGTTTAGGCTTGTCACAAAGGGAAAGAATTGTTCTTCGTCTTGAAAAAAAAAATTATCAAATTTTATCAATATTTCACCCCCTCATTAACATTAAAAAAAAGGCAAAAGTGTTCGTTTTACCCCACCTGCCCCTATGACTTCTTTCAAGAAATTGGCAAAAAAAACTGTCATAAAATTTCAATGAAATTCTCCGGGGAATACGTGATGCGATTGAAACCCTGAAAAAAATGAATGAAAAATAATTTTTTTTTTCATTTTGAATTTTTCTTTCAGGCTTTAATGAGGCCTGATTCATAAAAATCGTATCATTTCATCAGTATAAATACAGATCATTTAAGAAAACCCATTCTCCTTCACTCTTCCTTAATAAAATAGAGGAAAAAAAAAGAAAGACAATTGAGTTTGTTTTAATTCGAATACTTGATACCTGAAAAGTAAAAATTGCGATTTCATGAACCGAATGTGCCCCAGCTTCGATCAACCCCAAGTAAGCTCTGTCTCCTTTGAACCAATGTAAACACTCGGCAGCAGCGTGATCGATATACACAGCAGCTCCCGGAATTTTCTCAAAAACATCCTCCCAACAGGCGTGAGAAAATTCGAAGATGTCATAAGCGTTCTCCATTCCTTTGCCGTATGCGTCCATCAATTAGGAGCCAAACTGCACTTGCCCGATCTGTCCATGTGTCAAACAGCTGATGTCCGTCATCGACAATTCATTTACCGGAGATCGATAAAACAGGTTCGCCCAACCTCAAGAGCTGCTCGAAAATATCTAGATAGATAACCACTGCATCTCTCACTCGTGTTTTTTCGTGAGTAACAAAAAAATCTTATTATTCATTTTTAAATTGCAGTGATCGATCTTCCAATTTAGCAATTGCTCCGGACAATTCCAGAAAATCATTTTTTTTTCAATTTCCAACGCTTTTCTGGTTGAGACCAACCAATCACAGCCCTCCGCCAATCATGGGGAGCGATTTTACTCGTTTTATGTCGACAAAATCGTAAATTTCAACCAATCGCAGTCCTGGGGAGCAATTTTCCTCGTTTTATGTCGACATCAGGACTGTCATTGGTTGAAATTTACGATTTTATGTCGACATAAAACGAGGAAAATCGCTCCCCAGTTCAGTATCCGTAGAACATAGAGGAGGGTGGGGTAAAATGGACACTAGACTTTTTTTTTATTATTTATAACTCAGAAACAAATTGATCAATTGAGCTCAGTTCAGGCTCGGCACGAAGGGAAAGAATTGTTCTTTGTATTGAGAAAAAGGATATTGAATTTTATCAACATTTCAACCCCTCATTAGCATATTAGAAAAAGTCAAGTGTCCGTTTTACCCCAACCTCCCCTACTTTAGTACAAGATACTAGGCTTGAATCCGTAAAGTGGGGGATACGTAATTCTCGGAATTTTATTCCCCTACAGTCCCTGTGGTATTTTGTACGAAGATTGGACTGTACCCTCTTTGTGTTCACTAGTTAGTACGAATGAAATCAAAGTCTACGGGTCTTGTTGCTCAAAAATCCGAATTTTTACAAGAAACAAGTGTTTACGGCGCGTAATTGGGGCTGTTCATTGTTCCTGGAATCGCCTCGCGAGTGTCTCGACGTCCGAGGCGCCGGAGTCGTCGTTGTTATTGTCTGGGGAGGTGAAGGCCCCGAGTGTTTGTAAATACCCGGTCGACACTGTGCGGCATTCGTAACGCGTGAAAACCCTGATCTGACTCCAATTTTTATTTCTTTATTCGCACACCAAACATACCACAGCTTTACTCCATCTCGAACATTTCTTTTTGTGAAATTGTTGGACAATTTTTTTTGTTAGATTCATATCAATAGACTTATTCGAACCCTCAGAACAGTTAAATCATGAAAAAAATGGAGGAATTAATGTGTTCTTTGCTTCTCAATCATTTTTTGCGTGTGAATAGACACTGCCTCATTTTTTTTCGGGAAATTGTTGGAGAATTTTTTCTGTCAGATTTATTCGAATCAAAATTCGCGATTAGGGGAAGGTGGGGTAGAACGGACACTTGACTTTTTTAGAAATGTTAATGAGGGATTGAAATGTTGATGAAATTTAATCATTTTTTTTTCAGTGCAAAGAGCAAGTCTTTCCCTTTGTGACGAGCCTAAACTGAGCTCAATTGATCAATTTGTTTCTCAGCTATGAATAATTTAAAAAAAGTCTAAAGAGTCCGTTTTACCCCACCCGCCCCTACATATTTTTTCCTTTGTTCACAATTTTTAACGTTCGTCTGCGCGACAAGTCAGCGCAGTAGCCCCCCTCCCCCCGGCCCGCCGGTCAACGCCTGCCCAACGTCTTGGACCTTCATCTGTTCACTTCACAGTCATTCGCCGGGCGCTTCGGTCAGTGTCACCTCAACTCACGAACGATATTTGTTTCATTCGTCGTTCCTAGCGATGAATAAGGATTGAGTGCTTCGTTAAAGTGTACTCTGCATGAAATGTGAAGTTCAGTATGGAATCTCAACAGCAGGAAGTGATCAAGTATGTGTTGAACAATTTTTTTGCCGATTCAATTTTTTCCAAGTTTTTTTTTCTTTCATTTTACAAGATATTTTATTTTTATAATTGATTGTGATATCGAGGATTAGCACGGCAGTCACCATTGGATCGTTAGTTATTCAGTTTTTTCCCATTATTTGAAACGATCAGTGGAATTTTCTAGTCGCCACATGCGCGAGAGTATGCGCAGTACACGCCCTCCTTTCCCGCGTATTTTCCCTTTCTCAGTCGACGTGCGGCGGCCATCGTAGATTGTCGTGTCCTCCGGCGAGAATCGTTGACATCGGCCGTGAAACCCGTGAATAATCATTTTTTCTCGTTAATCAAAGTGTCAGTTCTTAACATTAGTGAAGATTAATATTTTTGAAGTGAAGAAATGGTGCAATGTCCGGAATTATCGACGAAATTAGGCGATTAGAGGCTGTCAATCTCTATTCATAACCTTGCTGACTCTTTTACTTATTGAATAATTAATTTCAACACTGAATTTTGACATTTCGTTAATATTTCAATAATTTCGAAAATTATTATCGACGTTCGGGAGAAAAAAAAATATTAATAATATTTTATTGGAGTGCACCAATAGTGAAATATTAGGGATTGAAAAATCAATAATTGTGTTCAAAATCGAGAATTTTATTATCATACACGAGAGAATTATCACAGCAGTGAGTGTGCATTCGTTCGTCAGTTGTTTAGATTTTTTTTTCATTGTTTGAAGCATCAGTGGAATTTTCTAGTCGCCACATGCGCGAGAGTATGCGCAGTACATGCCCTCCTTTCCCGCGTATTTTCCCTTTCTCAGTCGACGTGCGGCGGCCATCGTAGATTGTCGTGTCCTCCGGTGAAAATCGTTGACATCGCCCGTGAAACCCGTGAATAATCATTTTTTCTCGTTAATCAAAGTGTCAGTTCTTAACATTAGTGAAGATTAATATTTTTGAAGTGAAGAAATGGTGAAATGTCCGAAATTATCGACGAAATTAGGCGATTAGAGGCTGTCAATCTCTATTCATAACCTTGCTGACTATTTTACTTATTGAATAATTAATTTCAACACTGAATTTTGACATTTCGTTAATATTTAAATAATTCCGAAAATTATTGTCGACGTTTGAGAGAAAAAAGTGCACCAATAGTTAAATATTAGGGATTAAAAAATCAATAATTGTGTTCAAAATCGAGAATTTTATTATCATACACGAGAGAATTATCACGGCAGTGAGTGTGCATTCGTTCGTCAGTTGTTTAGATTTTTTTTCATTGTTTGAAGCATCAGTGGAATTTTCTAGTCGCCACATGCGCGAGAGTATGCGCAGTACACGCCCTCCTTTCCCGCGTATTTTCCCTTTCTCAGTCGACGTGCGGCGGCCATCGTAGATTGTCGTGTCCTCCGGTGAAAATCGTTGACATCGCCCGTGAAACCCGTGAATAATCATTTTTTCTCGTTAATCAAAGTGTCAGTTCTTAACATTAGTGAAGATTAATATTTTTGAAGTGAAGAAATGGTGAAATGTCCGAAATTATCGACGAAATTAGGCGATTAGAGGCTGTCAATCTCTATTCATAACCTTGCTGACTATTTTACTTATTGAATAATTAATTTCAACACTGAATTTTGACATTTCGTTAATATTTAAATAATTCCGAAAATTATTGTCGACGTTTGAGAGAAAAAAGTGCACCAATAGTTAAATATTAGGGATTGAAAAATCAATAATTGTGTTCAAAATCGAGAATTTTATTATCATACACGAGAGAATTATCACGGCAGTGAGTGTGCATTCGTTCGTCAGTTGTTTAGATTTTTTTTCATTGTTTGAAGCATCAGTGGAATTTTCTAGTCGCCACATGCGCGAGAGTATGCGCAGTACACGCCCTCCTTTCCCGCGTATTTTCCCTTTCTCCGTTGATGTGCGGCGGCCATTGTAGAGTGTTGTGTTCTCCGGCCGGAATCGTTGACATCGTCTGTGAAACCCGTGAATAATCATTTTTTCTCGTTAAGTAAAGTGTCAGTTCTTAACATTAGTGAAGATTATTATGTTTGAACTGGAGAAGTGACGACACGTTCGGAATTATCGACAAACTCAGGTGATTAGAGGCTGTCAATCTTTATTCATAACCTCCCTGTCTTTTTCACTTGTTGAATAATTAATTTCAACAATAAATTTTGACATTTTGGTACTATTTAAATAATTTCGAAAATTACTGTCGACGTTTGAGAGGAAAAATAGTGAAATATTGGAGATTGAAAAATCAACCAGTCGTTGAGAATGAATTAATATAAAACATTACGTATCTTTAACAATTGAATTTTTTCCTATGGAATTTTTTATTTTTTCCAAATGATTATAGTAGAGAAATTTGAAGAAATATTTTAATGAGATATCAGGATAGAATAATCTATTTTGTTTAACAGGAAAAAAAAATTTTCAAGTGCTCATTCAGGTCCTTCCTTTATCAACTTATTTACTTGTCTTTCGATAGTAAGAAAAAATTGCTTAAAAATATGAAAACATTTTCTTATTTTTAATTTTCACACACTTTATCCTTGGTTTTGCAGATGTTCGAAGAAATCCCATGGACTGAAGGAAGTGAAAAATCAACTATACAAGATCGAGTGAGAAATTTCTTCCAAGTATTCTTCAGGTACTATTCCACTTGCTTTTCACAATTTTTTCAATCATTTTTGTCAGTCATTAATTTAATTTTTTTTCTCTCTTTCTGTTTTACAGATGAAGGTAAGGTTTACGGTTTTTATAATTCATGAATGACAAAACCCGATGGAGTTACCTGTTTATAAGACGTCCTATGTAAGTGAACATTATTTTTAATGCATGGAATGCCAAGGACTGATGTTCCTTGAATATACGTTTTCTGTGTGATATGAGCAAGGGGAGTCACTGATGTTTCTCTCATTAGGCTCGTAGGCTCTCATTAGGCTTTTAATACGATCAGGTTTACTGTTTGGGAATTTCTCATGATCATATTGTGGAGGCTGTAGCTCACTTCTTCCCAAGTTTCGAGTAAGGGAGGATGTTTGACATTTGCGAGTTCTTCATGGTCGAGAGTCACATCTAATCTACACCATAGGACTTCTCATTGGTGTTATTGAATGTTAAAATCTATTAGAACTCTCTTATTTTGTGGGTCAAAGGAATTGTTGATGTTGTCAGTGCTCCATAATCTAGAGCGGCCCTAAATGCACACTACACGAATTTCCCTCGGTGATGTAGTATTTAGAAATGTACAATATCTTCTGCACTTTAGAGTGAGGATTAGTATGTACTCTTGATTTTTGCGAATGCTGTATGGAAACACCTTCTCGGTGTGTCTGAAGAGTATTTTCATTTAATGTCAGCAGACATCACCCTAATACTGGAAATGAGAAGGAAATAACGAAATTTATAACAGATTATTTTCACTTCATTTATTTACTTCAACTAATATTGAGCTTCTCCTAAAAAAATCCCATTAACTTTCAACATTTAACAACTGTTAGCACCCGAAACAATTTCGATGATGCGGCATGTTCTACATAATTTTATTTTATAATGTAAAAAATTGATTAGCGTACGGAAGACCGAGGCTTCAAGCAACAATTTCAGCGATTGTATGATCTGAAGATAGTTTCAATAATCTATTCCTTATTTATCACGAAAAATGACTAATTCATACTTGATTGCAATTGCTAGTTGATTGGTTTCAGCGAATTTTTTCGACGCCTTGTATAACAAATTTAATAGAAAAAACCTAGAGCGTTCTCGAAATTCTCTAGAAAATATCTCAGTGGAAGAAGGGGCATGGAAAGGATCAAATTCTATTGATTTTTTTTTTCATAAAATAATTTCTAATGAATATTTTCTTTTTAAAAAACCACAGAAAAGCGGAATTTTCCAATAAAACCGGTGGGAATTATTTTCGCGCTTAATAACTAGAATTTTTAGAAGAATTCTAACGGAACGCTCATAGAATTCTTATTGCATATGAATCCAATACGCGTTTCTCTATTGAATTGTTTCATACATGGCGAATCGAAACTATATTTTTCATTACAACACGTGAAAGGTCATCGTCATTCCCACACGATGTGGTGAATCCACAATTAATTAATTATTAAATCCATTAAAATAATATTTAACAAATAATTAAAGCTCACCTAGATCTATCCATTGCAACATGTCAACAATATCTGATTAATAATAAATATCGTAAGGCTCTTGAGCTCCCCAAGTTCAACATATTTTCATTAGCTGTATAGGCTGCAATCAATAGGTATATATACTCTCATTGTTCATTAAAAAAATCAACATATAAAATATGATATCAAATTACGACCTAGCCTACAACCAAGAGACTAAATGCTCAAAATTTTTTTCAAAATATAGCTGTCGCACTCCCCGCAATGTTCGTTCAAGCGAATATTTAAAATTCAACAGTAAATATTTATCATGTATTTTTTGCTCACATACTCATAATCTTTCTTTCATTTTTATTAACTTTCATTTGATATTCTTACGTCACTTGGGGGGTTTACTACTTTTTTTTTAATGCATAGGCCACTTCGCACTTAATCGGTAATTTACGTCAATCATAATTAGTGAATCTATACCAGAGCTTTTATGAGCGGAAATGGAAGCTCTTCGTCGTTGCATGTTTTTCGCTTAATGTTCTAGTGGTATTCTAGGGAATAAACACTTACACTATGCTTAGCTGTTAGTTACACATTATTCTTAAAAAATAGAGGCACCGCTTTTTTCAACTTGAATTTGCTATGATTTAAAATTCTGCTGATATTGAGGATATCCAAGTGGGACGAGTTTGGCAATAGTATCGGTTCTCGAAAAATTATATTTCTGGTCCTAAAATCTAGTTGAGATATTTTACGGCCGTCAGTTTCCCAGTCAGTGCCACTATATGCTTCCCGTGTCTTTAATGAGAGTCGAATAATTATATATTTTTTTCATAGTTCATTAAATCAGTGTACCAAGTAGAGAGCTAATACTCTTCCTCAAATACAATACATTTCCTCAAATGAATGATTAAATAAATTAATGTTTGAAGCACCGAAAACCTCCGCCAGGTGTCAGTGTCAGATACAAGTGTTAAAGAAAATGTTAACATTAAAAGAATGGCCAAAGTACTGAGATATCCTCAGTCAAACGTTCACACGTTGATGTTTCATTAGCTCTTTGTCAGCTCAACGAATGATAATCAGTATTCCTGAAAACGATCAATTTCAGTTGCATTACATTCCATTGGGTTTCATGAATCTCATTACCTTCATTAGAAAACGAAAGGCCTATAACGTATTCGTGCCACTTGGATATCCGCAATACTTTGTCTTTCATATTTTTGGAATTATCCTGAGCTGAGCCGTTTTTTAAATCTATTCGCTAAATCGAGCTGAGCATGTACAGCGGCGCATGTGCCTGTCTGTTGAACTGATTGTAGTTTCGCCTACAGTTCGAGATATTTGTCAATGTCGTCGGATTTTTCACTATCCGAGAATTGAAAATCCAATTGAAAAACCCAGCCCATTTTTATTACTGAAAATCTATGAGAATTCCATGAAAAATTCGATTTGTTTTTCACGCTGATTGTTTTTGAAAATCATACAACTTGCCATTCGTATTTCACTGGATTTTTTTTAGAAAAAAAAATCAATACACGTACGTTGATTATTCATGAGGATAAATGATTTTTCTTCGATTTTGCAATGAAAAATGAGCAAATACAGCTGAAGAAACAGTAGGTATTTTTCAATAAAAAAATTTGTAGTAAAATCGCACAAAAAAAATACAAAATATGTAACAGAAAAACAAATGGAATTTTTATGTCAATTTTGAGTATAACTTCTATGAGAAATTCAACAGAATTTGTTGGAGAATTTGCTGGGTTTTTGTCTGAAATTTTTTTATGCGCGACATTATGTCGTAATACGGCACCCAGTTGACTCTGGAATGCGATGGTCTACCGAAAAATGGCTATAATTTTCGGACGACATTATGTTGAAGACAGCGACCGATTTAACACTGATTCCGCTTGAGTCAATGCTCACCGTCTTACGTATATTTTGGTCTTAAGGCATGCTTCAGGTCCTGGACCATTTTTAACATTCTAAGCATCTGCGAGACAAGCGAACAATGAGCAATAATTTTGTTGCCCTGTTTTTTGTTTTTATACATATATAATCGATCTTCAATAAACGAGAAATGTCACTCCAACAGCCCGCGATTTAAAACTCATAGCAGTCTCCCCTTAATTTCCCTCAAGTAAATCCACTCCATCAAATATTCTCACGTGGAGGATCTAATTCTTCAGCAGAGCCAATTTTTTCTCTCAGTGTAATGGAAATTGAGACAAAAAACTAACAGAATTCCAATATAATTCTAACAGAAGTCCAATTGAAAATTAATCAAATTCATTACTCAAAACGCTACGTTTTTCTGTAAATTTTTATCACTTGTGCTCAGACGACAAGAATTGTTCGCTGGGTTAGTTGACATAGGTATCAACTTCTCCCACCACCCCACGAAGTGCAAAAATTGACAAAGCAGTTGCCCCGCCTGTATTATTGGGTGCTGATTGAACTACTACTGCTGGTTGACGCATCCGACAAATTGGGCTCCTCGCACTCTCTGACACGCGGTGGCGGTGGCAAAGGCAGATTTCCGCAGTCCGGAAGTGGTGGTAAGACGTTCCTTTGGAATTGTCCAGATACATTGCCAATGGGCTGATAATTGGCAACGACGATTATCTTCCCACTCCTACTTCGTGCCTTGCCAACTCCAAACAGCTGGCTGCTGGCCCATATTACTTGCGTGAAGTGACCTGTGCAGACAAATTTCTCGAATTCTATAGAGGAACGAGACCAATGTCACTCGGACATGTATCAAGAGATTGAAAAGGAAAAGAGTCAGCGAATTCGTTGGGTAATTCTATTGGATTTTCAGTCGTTTTTGGCCAATTCTATTGAAAAATTCTGTAGCATCTGCGCATTTTTTTTTCAATAGAAATGTTTCATGGAGAACGTTCTATAGACGAAATGAATAAAATTCGATTTTGGATAGAAATTCCAGGGTTCAAAATTTTGCATTTTATTCGTTCGATTATTCTTTGAGGAAAAAAGAAGAAACAGGAATGGAAAAAAATAGAATATTCAGTTCGATGAATTCCTCTTGAAAATTTCTCAATTAAAAAATTTACATGAAAACATGAAATTCTACAGGTTTTTAAAAATATAATATCGTTGGAATGGAATCGATAACAACTTCATCGAATTTTCAATAGAAGTTCAATAGAAATCCAAGAAAATTGTCTATCGAATTCATTAGATTTTGTAATGAAATTTTTTCGTGCGCGTTTTCATTTTTTTATCTGAATTATTCCTTTGAAATTAGTCACGTAAACAATCTCGGCGATCAATGTATAATATTTTCCGTACTATTTTCTCAATTTTTAATATCAAAATCTCAATAGATCATGTTTTATACAAAAATCAAGATTTATTAATTTTTTCTTCATTGAAAGCCGCCCGGCGAAGATGTACAATTTCAAATATAAATCGACGCAAAATAAGAATAGCTTATTTCACAGAATTTCAATCGATTTCTAACAAAACTCCGATAGAATATTTTAGAGAAAGCGCTAGGTTTTTCCATTGATTTTTTTAAATCACACGTGGATATGCGAGAAAAAGAGAAAAAGCTCACCAGCATTGACGTTCGTGTGGAGTACATCCGGCTCTTTGAAGAAATCGTACTGTTTTACTGCTGAGTACCAGTAGGAAGCGACCTCCTGACCGTTCACTTCGCCTGGCACAGCACCCCCTGGGCGACAATAGAGATTCTGTCCAATTTCACGATCATTTCTGTAGTAGAATGTGTTCGTATGGGCTAGATGATTCGCCCACGTCTGAGCATATTCACACAACTGGAGGGAAAACATCAATTATTTGCAAAAATTAAAATTAAAGCTGATGGATCGTGTTTTGTATTTCATTTAAATTCTTTTTTATTTCATACAGACTCAAGCACACAAAATTACAGAATCAATTTTAATAAACATAGAGTTTAATAATGAAATTAATAAAATGATCAGTTCAAAATAATACTAATGATGGGAGGGATTTGAAAAGAGTCAATAAAGAAACCTGGAGGTCTCTTAAGAAACTCTTTCGGATTTTTATTTGAAATACATTGAAAATTCTAGTTGTTTTTAACGATTCTATTGAGAAATTTCATGTTTTTGGGATAGATTTTTTTACAAATCGAATACTAATGTTTTATGAAAAATATTCATAGAAAAATTGAATAGATTTTGATCTCTCTACATAACTGATTCTGTTGAAATTGTTTCTTATAAAAATTGTTGGAATTGAATTTTTCCTTTTTTTGGCTAGATGTTTCAATGAGAAAATAAAAATGTGTGGAAACGTCTATGTAATATGAATTTCTACATAGCAAAAGTAGTTTGATAGATCAAGTTGTATAGAAAAATTGACATTTGTAAATTTTTTTTCAATTCAATAGTTCTATTTTAAAAAACCAAGAGAATCTCCCGATGAATTCCGATAAAAATCCAATAGAAATTGCCAGTGAATTCACTAGGTTCTTCTATTGAGAAGTACTTGCACTAGTTTTTTTCATTGTGAAGTGGTCAAACGATATAAATCAATCATATCAGACTCCAGTATTTTCTGATGAATATCACAGAACTGAAAAAAAATTGCTTTCGCATTATTATGAATTTTTTTATACACTTCTCTCCATTGTGTCTGCCCTGCAAAAAATGTCCTCACAAAAGTTTTTTCATCCCCTTCAGATGTGGAAATGAAACGAAATCAATGAAAAATTCACCCTTAAATAGACTTATCTCGTTTTGCCACTGAATTAACATGAAAAGTTCGTGAAAATCACGATTTTTTTTTTCATCAGCCATCTGCACGTGAAATGTGACACGCAACTTTCATATCGTCGTAGAGCCAAAGGGGCGTAAGAGCTATGCTTATACACACCACTTACGCCCCTTTCGCTATATGACGACGATTTATCCAACCTAGATGTCGTAATAAACTAGGTCATGATTTTATCTCATCCCTTAGTTTACATTCATCCAACTTTGCAAACCGTAATATGGATATTGGTGCATTTTCAAGGTAATGCAACATGTTATCTGTTGATGTACCGCATTTACCTGGGGTGACATTGTTAGAGTCGGGGCATTGTGACGTTGTCGATATACGTTGTGCCAGCACAAGCATTCTGTGATGAATTCACTGTCCCTCCAATCGGTTTGCAAGTCGGTAATATCGTGGGATATGCTCATTGTCTTGTGGCTCAATATCTGAAAGGAAATTATTTCAACAGTTTTAATTTTGTTCAGGAGTTTAATTCATTTTTGTGAACAGAAGACATCGAGACGAATATTTTGAAAAAAAAATGAAATCGGTTGAGTAGTTTTTGAGATCTTTGCGAACAACGATTTACAAACAAATGGCGATTTTTCAAAAACGGCTGGATCGATTGGGATGAAATTTAGGAGAGAGTTAGGCCTCATTGATATATATAACCTGACAAATTTTCAGGTTTTTTGGAATTATTTTAGCCCTGTAATTCTTAAATTTTCTAAAAGTTGACCACCAGCTCGTCAAATTTCGTATTTTTACGTTTAAGATCATTCCGCATCATTTGCAAGAAAAATTAGAAAATCTAAAAATATAACGATTACAATGCTTCCATGATTTTTGAGAATTCTTCTAAAACTTCAACCGAATTTTTTCGAGAAATACTGGGTAGTCTTCATTTTTTTTGGATGTCTCTTTTATTTCGAGGCGAATAATTCTAAAGTTTCTTCAAGAATCGAATGGAATTGGTTTTAAGGCTCTATCTCTAATAGTTTCCGAGATAATCGCGAAAAACGAAATCAACTAAAGAAATTCATTTAATTTATCTTGTATAGGGCGTAGGAAGTGGAGAAACTTAATTCTGAGCCGTCGATCTGCCTATAGGAAACCCAAATGTCCTCAGGAATCGAATGGATTTGGTTTTAAGGCTCTATCTCTAATAGTTTCCGAGATAATCGCGAAAAACGAAATCAACTAAAGAAATTCATTTAATTTATCTTGTATAGGGCGTAGGAAGTGGAGAAACTTAATTCTGAGCCGTCGATCTGCCTATGGGAAACCCAAATTTCCCCAGGAATCGAATGGATTTGGTTTTAAGGCTCTATCTCTAGTAGTTTCCGAGATAATCGCGAAAAACGAAATCACCTAAAAAAATTCATTTAATTTATCTTGTATAGGGCGTAGGAAGTGGAGAAACTTAATTCTGAGCCGTCGATCTGCCTATGGGAAACCCAAATTTCCCCAGGAATCGAATGGATTTGGTTTTAAGGCTCTATCTCTAGTAGTTTCCGAGATAATCGCGAAAAACGAAATCACCTAAAAAAATTCATTTAATTTATCTTGTATAGGGCGTAGGAAGTGGAGAAACTTAATTCTGAGCCGTCGATCTGCCTATGGGAAACCCAAATTTCCCCAGGAATCGAATGGATTTGGTTTTAAGGCTCTATCTCTAGTAGTTTCCGAGATAATCGCGAAAAACGAAATCACCTAAAAAAATTCATTTAATTTATCTTGTATAGGGCGTAGGAAGTGGAGAAACTTAATTCTGAGCCGTCGATCTGCCTATGGGAAACCCAAATTTCCCCAGGAATCGAATGGATTTGGTTTTAAGGCTCTATCTCTAGTAGTTTCCGAGATAATCGCGAAAAACGAAATCACCTAAAAAAATTCATTTAATTTATCTTGTATAGGGCGTAGGAAGTGGAGAAACTTAATTCTGAGCCGTCGATCTGCCTATGGGAAACCCAAATTTCCCCAGGAATCGAATGGATTTGGTTTTAAGGCTCTATCTCTAGTAGTTTCCGAGATAATCGCGAAAAACGAAATCACCTAAAAAAATTCATTTAATTTATCTTGTATAGGGCGTAGGAAGTGGAGAAACTTAATTCTGAGCCGTCGATCTGCCTATGGGAAACCCAAATTTCCCCAGGAATCGAATGGATTTGGTTTTAAGGCTCTATCTCTAGTAGTTTCCGAGATAATCGCGAAAAACGAAATCACCTAAAAAAATTCATTTAATTTATCTTGTATAGGGCGTAGGAAGTGGAGAAACTTAATTCTGAGCCGTCGATCTGCCTATGGGAAACCCAAATTTCCCCAGGAATCGAATGGATTTGGTTTTAAGGCTCTATCTCTAGTAGTTTCCGAGATAATCGCGAAAAACGAAATCACCTAAAAAAATTCATTTAATTTATCTTGTATAGGGCGTAGGAAGTGGAGAAACTTAATTCTGAGCCGTCGATCTGCCTATGGGAAACCCAAATTTCCCCAGGAATCGAATGGATTTGGTTTTAAGGCTCTATCTCTAGTAGTTTCCGAGATAATCGCGAAAAACGAAATCACCTAAAAAAATTCATTTAATTTATCTTGTATAGGGCGTAGGAAGTGGAGAAACTTAATTCTGAGCCGTCGATCTGCCTATGGGAAACCCAAATTTCCCCAGGAATCGAATGGATTTGGTTTTAAGGCTCTATCTCTAGTAGTTTCCGAGATAATCGCGAAAAACGAAATCACCTAAAAAAATTCATTTAATTTATCTTGTATAGGGCGTAGGAAGTGGAGAAACTTAATTCTGAGCCGTCGATCTGCCTATGGGAAACCCAAATTTCCCCAGGAATCGAATGGATTTGGTTTTAAGGCTCTATCTCTAGTAGTTTCCGAGATAATCGCGAAAAACGAAATCACCTAAAAAAATTCATTTAATTTATCTTGTATAGGGCGTAGGAAGTGGAGAAACTTAATTCTGAGCCGTCGATCTGCCTATGGGAAACCCAAATTTCCCCAGGAATCGAATGGATTTGGTTTTAAGGCTCTATCTCTAGTAGTTTCCGAGATAATCGCGAAAAACGAAATCACCTAAAAAAATTCATTTAATTTATCTTGTATAGGGCGTAGGAAGTGGAGAAACTTAATTCTGAGCCGTCGATCTGCCTATGGGAAACCCAAATTTCCCCAGGAATCGAATGGATTTGGTTTTAAGGCTCTATCTCTAGTAGTTTCCGAGATAATCGCGAAAAACGAAATCACCTAAAAAAATTCATTTAATTTATCTTGTATAGGGCGTAGGAAGTGGAGAAACTTAATTCTGAGCCGTCGATCTGCCTATGGGAAACCCAAATTTCCCCAGGAATCGAATGGATTTGGTTTTAAGGCTCTATCTCTAGTAGTTTCCGAGATAATCGCGAAAAACGAAATCACCTAAAAAAATTCATTTAATTTATCTTGTATAGGGCGTAGGAAGTGGAGAAACTTAATTCTGAGCCGTCGATCTGCCTATGGGAAACCCAAATTTCCCCAGGAATCGAATGGATTTGGTTTTAAGGCTCTATCTCTAGTAGTTTCCGAGATAATCGCGAAAAACGAAATCACCTAAAAAAATTCATTTAATTTATCTTGTATAGGGCGTAGGAAGTGGAGAAACTTAATTCTGAGCCGTCGATCTGCCTATGGGAAACCCAAATTTCCCCAGGAATCGAATGGATTTGGTTTTAAGGCTCTATCTCTAGTAGTTTCCGAGATAATCGCGAAAAACGAAATCACCTAAAAAAATTCATTTAATTTATCTTGTATAGGGCGTAGGAAGTGGAGAAACTTAATTCTGAGCCGTCGATCTGCCTATGGGAAACCCAAATTTCCCCAGGAAACGAATGGATTTGGTTTTAAGGCTCTATCTCCAATAGTTTCCGAGATAATCGCGAAAAACGAAATCAGCTAAAAAAATTCATTTAATTTATCTTGTATAGGGCGTAGGAAGTGGAGAAACTTAATTCTGAGCCGTCGATCTGCCTATGGGAAACCCAAATTTCCCCAGGAATCGAATGGATTTGGTTTTAAGGCTCTATCTCTAGTAGTTTCCGAGATAATCGCGAAAAACGAAATCACCTAAAAAAATTCATTTAATTTATCTTGTATAGGGCGTAGGAAGTGGAGAAACTTAATTCTGAGCCGTCGATCTGCCTATGGGAAACCCAAATTTCCTCAGGAATCGAATGCAATGCTGAATCCTTGCTCATGAAATTTTTTTCCGTACCTTCTTTTCCGATTCTGCACGATTTTTCCCGCACCCCTTAAGTCTAGGGGTGCGGTGTACAAACGTAAATGAATGTGGTACATTCAGGTACTCACTGAGTACAATCGATACTATAAGAAAAAAAATCGATTTATCAAACTTCTCCTCCAAGTTCATACAGCTAGAGTTAGGCCTTATTAATTTCTATAATCTGACAAAATTTCGTTTTTTTTTAAATTATTTTACCCCTTTAATTCTTAAATTTTCTAAAAGTTGACCACCAGGTGGTCAATTTTCGTATTTTTACGTTTAAGATCATTCCGCATCATTTGCAAGAAAAATTAGAAAATCTAAAAATATAACGATTCCAATGCTTCCATTCGGAATCAACAGAGAAAATAGCATATTTCATAACGAGTGCAAAAAAGTGTTTTTTGGCGAGTGGGAGGTTTATATCACGAGCCGAGGCGGAGACTCGCCTTCGGCTCGTGATATAATCCCACGAGCTAAAAAACATTTTTTCACGAGTTACGAACAATATTTTTCATCACAATGTGGTGGAAATTGGACTTTTAGGCACGCGGAGCGTGCCGAAAAGTTCACTTTTCGTCACAGCGTGATGAAAATGATTTTTCAGAATTCTTCTAAAACTTCAACCGAATTTTTTCGAGAAATACTCGGTACTCTTCACTTTTTTTAGATGTCTCTTTTATTTCGGTGCGAATAATTCTAATTAAGGGCCATTGTCTAAGATTAGTTTGCCATTTGAGGGTAATTCATTGAAGAAACGCACGGGTGGCTCTGAAATTTGAGTTACATAGAACCGTAAATCTGGAGAGATAAGCTTTAGGGTAGCCAAGAAGGAACTGGGTCAAGTTCGCTTCAATCAAAAAACGGACAAGGGAGGAGGAAAAGGCATAATCTTGGCCCCAACTGCCCTATAACTTTCCGAACCGAGGCTTTATACAACTGACTATACGGCCTCAACGGCATCAATGTGAATGTGTACACATGGAATTGCGTGATTTATGGTTCGTCTTCCGCTGAAAGGACTACACGAGATATGTTACATTCCAACCAATGATATTCGAGCAATTTTTATACGAAAACATTTCATAGAAAGACCCAGAGAATTCGATAAAAAATTCTATTGATTTTCTTTTGAACTTCTGTTGGAAATTCTGTTAGTTTTTGATCGATTTCTATTAACAATTTTGGCAGCTTTCAAAAATCATTACAATTGAATTCTTCTGTACATCTTTTCCTATTGAGACATTCTCTATAGGAATTTTTTGACTTAAGTTTCTGGAATTATGTTTACTCTATTTTTTTCTTTCTTTTCATAAAAAAATACATAACACAAATTTGGAAAATGTGAACCCAGAAATTTCTGCAAAATCAAATTCTATTATTTTTTTCTGCAGAATATTTCTCATTGAATATTTTCGTTGAATAAAAACGTGCAGATGAGCTGCAGAATTCTTCAATTTTTTAGCGAAATCGCTAGTTTTTTCTGTGTCAATTGAATTGTGTGTGAAAAATTCACAATTTTGAGAAAATTTCCCAAAAAAAGAATCTTTCACATTCGAAATTCCAGTATTCATTTTTTCATTTTTTTAGACGAGAACAAACTCCTTATTTATGAACAAAAAAAAGTTCAACTGACAAGCTTCAGACCTTATCATTATGACCCTGAAAGGATAATTTGCCAAGTTTGAAGCGCATTTTCCGCATCTCAAACTTTCAAAAAGTTATAATCTCATTATCTCGTGGACGATAGCGTCCGCTGCAGACTACTTTAGAATGGACTGTTTCCACGTGTTTGAAAAAATTTCGCCGGATTACAGTTAATGATTCACCTACACATGAGCATTTTTGCTGTAGAATCACTCGCAAAATTTTTTTGTAGAAATACCTAGCGAATTCGACAAAAAAATCTATTGGATTTCTATTAAATTCCTATTGAAAATTCGATTAGTTTTCGCTCGATTCTGTTGAAGAATTCCGGCGGCTTAGGACCTCAATAGAAACTATTCTATTGAAAAAAAACCGTAGAATTTCTATACAACTTTTTCTATTGCCGCATTTTCTATAGAAATTTCTCGACATGAATTTTTCAAGTTCTTTCCATTCTGTTTTTTTTTCTCTTCATGCAAAAAATTGAATGATGAAAGAAAGAAAATTTGAGCCAAGGAGTTTCTATTGAAAACATCTGAATAGAATATTTTTTCTAAACAAATTCCGAAGAATTTCAGAATTTGTTTGGAAAAAAAAGCGCAGATAAGCTACAGAATTTTTCCATAAAATAGGCCAAGAATTAATAGAAAGTTCAGTAGAAATTTAATATATAAAATTGGCACTTATGACAATTTGGTCAACATTGTAATAATTTCTCCAACATCCCTTGAACTTCATTGAAAATTATTAATATCATTGAGATGAACAAGTTCATTAAATCCACTAGAATTTTCTAGCGCATGCACTAGAGTTTCTCCGTGAAATTGTTTATTGGTACATGATGACTGACCTTTTTTAATAAATTGGGCCGATTGTCGAGTTGCTGGAAGGATTCTCCATCGGTTTGAGCATTTGATGTTGTGGCATCGCCACTGGTTTCCGTTGTTTGATTGACCTTACATAGTTTAGATTGTTCAACGCGTTTACGTAAATTCTCAAGTGCACGCGCCTCTTCGCGCTTACGCGACGGCGGCCAATTAGGTCCTGAAGTGTGGATAAAACTAATTACCGGAAAATCCTGGATAAAAGTCCATTTGTAAATACATCATCATTAGAATAACCAGTTGTTAATGAACTTCAGTAACGAAGTGGTGAAACGAGACTAGTCAATTCAACGTTAGAACTATTGATTTTGTAATTAACATCTGCGGAATAATAATTGAGATATAAAAAATTTAATAAGGAAAATTTCTTATAAATTTTTCGATATTTTTCACTGATTTGGAGATTTTTACGAGACATTCTCAAAAAATTTCATAGACCAAACTAGCGCATTTGCTATAGCTAAAGCGAATTATTCAAGGCTATAGCGAATTTCTATAGAAATTTTATTAGCTTTTCGCCGATTCTGTTGAAAAAAGTTGGAGAAATTTTTAATACAAAATATTATACAGAAGAAATCAATAGATTTCGGTCTTTGAAGGTCTTTAAAAATATTTCAGTTTATTCTATTAAAATATTTTCTATAGAAATTTCTCCTAATGGATTTTTCAAGTTTTTATCACTGCAAAAAAAATAGAAAAGTCAAGTCGAAGAATTTCTATAGAAACCATCTCAACAGAATAAGTTGTTTAGAAAGATCAAATTCGATTGATTTTTTCTGCGAAATAGTTTCTATTGAATAGCAATTAATTTTCCATCACTTCAATAAAAATCTTTAATTAATACTATTCTATAGAAAAAACGGATGTATTTTGATTTTTCTACAACTTATTCTGGTGAGAACATTTCTATAAAAATTCCTGAATGAATTTCTTCAATTTTTTCAACTGTTTTTCCTTTTCCCTGAAAAAAATAGAAGCAAAAAAAATCTAAAATTTCAGCCGAGGAATTTCTGCAGAAAGCATCTCAACAGAATCAGTTTTATAGAAAAATAAAAATCCAGATATTTCTCTATATAAAACATTTCCATAATAAAATCAGCGAAGAACTGGCAGAATTTTCCATACTTTCAAGTTCCATATGAATTCAATAAAAAATTTGTTCGTGCGTCTCCCAAAATCTGGACCCCAAATGAAATTGATTCATCTCATTTCCCCCCTTCACCACCTCATCACTGAACAATGCTCAATCACAAATCTCAATAAGAAATATTGAAACACCTTATTGGACGCCTGCACATTACTGTTAGCCAAATTATTATCAGTGCAAGCGGCTTGACTCAACAATCTCCGACTCGTGGGTGTTCTATTACGATTGATAATCTCTTTTTGTATCGCGTAATCAACGAAATAACTCTCATCCTCGTCATCATGTCTCGGTAACAATTCAGTAGTCTCTTCAACCGTTACAATGCTCATTTCGCGATACTCCATCGCAGCGACTGAACGTACTGGGGGTGCAGAATTTAACCCCTCTGATAAGACCGCTCAATTCTACCCCTGTGTGCATGCATCCCCTCCACTCGGCTCATTTTCAGGGGCACCTCCGCATTCATCCCCGTCTGCCCTACTTCCACCCCCAATTTTAACACCTTCAGGTCGAAATGTTCGATATGACGTCGATTATTCCGCATATCGATATTTTCAGGTGCGATAATCGGTTTTTTATCGGTTTTCCGTGGCCCGATTTATCAGAGGATTCTAATTTCACCCCCCAAGTTCGATATGACGTCGATTATTCCACATATCGATATTTTCTGGTGCGATAATCGGTCTTTTATCGATTCTCCGTGGCTCGATTTATCGGAGGAATTCATATTTCACCCCCAATATCGATATTTCAATCAAATTTTGATTTTTAAGACGTCTTCGGAGTTTGAAAAAAAATACTGTAATACGGGGAAATTTTTGTGTCTAAATGAATGTATTCTCAGTCAAAAGCAGATGATAAAATCCGAAAAATGGCTTGAAACATTTGTTCATTTTCAAGAAAAATGAAACGCGTTGCATGAAACGAGTTCGAAGGTGATCTAAAAAGTATAAATAATATTAAGGCCCGGCCTGTACGATTTTTTTTCTATCTTCATCCCCAGATTTTATACATGGTTATCATTTGATTTTGCGGGAATACTAATTGTGGCCCAAATACTGGATAAAAAATTATGGTTGGAGGATCAAATGGAAAGTTATAACCGACGACATGTCGGTAATTAGGTCTCAGATATAATGCGCCTTGAAATCCACCAATTTTTCCACTTTTCGATATGTTACCGCATGCGAAGATTTTCACACTATTGCAGTCGACTTTTTTCGATTTCAATGAAAATTGAATATGATGTAGAAGTGTTCCAAACGTCCATTGAAATGTGATTAAAAAAAAAAAATTTTTTGTGAAAATTATGCGAAATGAAAATTTTTGGTTGGACCAGGTAGGTAATTTTTTAAAAAATTATAACTCTATAAATATCAATTTTTTCAAAAAAGTACAAAAAAACTTTTTTATTCAAAACATATGTAAGTTTCAGGGAAAAAATTCTAAACTCGAAAAAGTTGAATTTACAATGAATTATTCAATAAACAAATTAAAAAGTTAACAACAAATCATGAGGGAAATCATGAAGAATTCGATATATTGATAGTTTTACCATCGTACATTCCTCCGGTGATTTCTCCCAGAAATCTACCTTATCGATAAAAAATGGCGGCTCCCTTGACGATAACGTACGTTCCAAGGATTGAACCCTTCGCCATTTATCCATTTCCCAACTGAACAAAAACAATAATTTAATATAAATTTATTTACACATCTGCCTCGTTCTAGTGAGCACTCAGATGAAAGTCATTCCCATGAAAATTAATTTATGCAATGGTAATGACACTGTTACCGTGACTACGAAGTCACTGTGATCCCGTGGAGTTTGGGGATTCCCTCGTGCGACCAAAATTTGTGCAGTTCATCTCGGAGTAATTGAACTTGTGGTGATTATATTCCTTCGAGGAACAATTAAGTGTAAAACATTGCTACGGAAAATTAATCTTCAAGAATGAATCTCGCAGACGGTGCTAGTATGACTCGTGGGGAGATGCTCTCCTTGATCGTTCGGCTCTCCCTGGTAACAGCGGTTGGATTTGTCAGCATAAGGTGGATAATGACTCAGTTGGATCCCATGTCAAAGGCTAAGAAGAAAGCTAAGGAGAGGGTGAGTACATCGCTGCATGCTGTCTTCACGTATTTTTTGGGGTTCACTGGTGATGGGGTCCTAACCTCGAAGCGATGTTTGGAGGGACATGACATGTGGATGAAGCTGAAACTAGCGAAAGATTTGATTTTGAGGAATTTAGCGGTGTGGAAGTATTTTTAAGGGGAGACGACACTGAAATTTCGGAATCACTGGTGCCTTTAGCCATCGTGCTGAGGAGTTTCAATGTAAAAAATGAGGAAATATTAGGTTTTGATTTTTTTATGGATCAGAAAGAGGCTTTAGAGGAGTAAAATCTTCGAAAGTGCTCTCATGATGCAATTCTCAACCGATTGACGCAAATTGCAGTTCACACGTACGTGGTAGATGGATAACCATAACTAAATGAGCTTTTTTCTCAATTTTTATTTTTTTGAGGTTTTGGAATTTTTTATATCATAAATCGTTTGTTAGTCATCATAAAGTGTTGAAGTCGGTGTTTTTACTGATTTTTCCAGTCATTTATTCAGAATATAATGAGAAAAAATAAGGGGAAACAATCTGAAAAAATTCATATTTCAATAATTTATTATGCACTTCATTTTGAATGATTTTTCAGCTTTTTTACTTGTAGTAATTTTTCAGGAAAAAATTATCCGCTGTCTGTTCCCCCCATTTCAGTTTCATGACACGTAGAACAATTATTCAATGATTGTGAGGGTTTCGAGAATGTTTTTCAGGCGGAATCTCAATTGAGAAAATTGGGGAAAACGAACAGTGTAAGTCTGATTGTTGACACCAATCAGCTGACAGAGTACGAGATGATGATTGCAAGCCACTTGATTGATCCGCAAGACATTCCTGTATCTTGGGAGAATATTGCTGGGCTTGACTCGGTTATTCAAGAGCTCAAGGAGACTGTCATACTTCCGATAAGGCGGAAGGAGCTGTTCGAGGACTCCAAGTTGACGCAGGCACCCAAGGTTTGAACGTGTTAGAATATTTTTCATCAATTTCAAAGGTATTTTTTCAGCCTTTGCAATGAGATATGACTTATCCCAATCGCACCACTTGGTCAGGAGATATTGCTGACTTACAATTAAAAAAAAAATTATTTTATTTTATTTTATTTTTTTAAAAGATATTCAAAGGAGTTGTCTACAAAAAAAATTGATGGAAAAATCTAGTCCAGTGGTTAAAGAATTCCATTGGATTTCTATTGGAAATTCTACTAGTTGTGTGATTTTTTCAAATTTATAGATTCTGATAAAAAAACATCATTAGATTTCTGTTCTACACAAATGTTTTAAATTTTTTCCGCTGAATTTTTTTGTTTTCTCATTGAAAAAAATCAGACCCAAAAATTTTGAAAATTGAACCCGAGAAAATTAAGAAGTATCGATTTGACAATAAAAAAAAATTATGAAAAATGAAAAACTCATGATTTCTTCTATTGACCATTCAATTGAAAAAAAAACGCAGGGTTAGAATAACTATAAAAATTTCAAATAAAAGGCTTTATTTGATTGAAATCCGTCATTTTTCTGGATGTAACTCACAGAATCTTGAAATATTCTAGAATTTCTAATTCGTCTTTCAGGAGACTTGATTACATTAAAAATATAGGACTAAACTTAGTTATTCAATATAGGGAGTGCTTCTACACGGACCACCTGGCTGTGGAAAAACCATGATTGCAAAGGCCACTGCCAGGGAGAGTGGCACATGCTTTATAAATCTCGATGTCAGCATTTTGACTGACAAGTGGTACGGAGAGAGTCAAAAACTCACTGCTGCTGTATTTTCACTGGCTGCCAAAATACAACCCTGCATTATTTTTATTGATGAAATAGGTAAAACGTTCTCCTCATGGACATTTCGATTGCGTAAAAAACTGGTGAATTGAATTATGAACATGAAAAATAAGAATCGTCACTCATATTTTACTCTTTTTAGATTCATTTTTACGAGCGAGAACTTCTCAGGACCACGAAGCAACAGCTATGATGAAAGCGCAATTTATGTCGCTATGGGACGGTCTTATTACCGACCCATCGTGCACTGTTATTGTCATGGGTGCCACGAACAGACCACAAGATCTCGATCGAGCAATACTTCGACGAATGCCAGCTACGTTTCACATAGGTTTACCAGTTAGTGCTCATAATTTTTATCATTGGGGATAATTAATACCGTCAATTTCGATTAATTATAGTCAGCGATGAAGAAACATTTCGAGTAAAATGCCAACTATTCTAAGTAAAAAAATGAGAGGAAATTCCTTTCGTCATAAACTACAGTCAATATATTTTTGCTAATAAATTAGCAATTTACTTTCGAATGAAATTTATATGACGATGTATTTTAAATTTAATTCAATGATTCATTGACACTGCAATTGAATTCTATGACACAGTGACAACTCGAACTGTTTGATTTATTCGCTAAAGAATTTGAAAAATGCTATTGGCAATTTATTCTTCCAGAATGAACATCAACGCACGCAGGTACTCAAGGTAATCCTGGCTAAAGAGCCCACGGCTGAAGACGTGGACGCTGCGAAATTAGCAAAACTGGCAGAAGGATTTTCTGGGTCTGATCTGCACGAGCTGTGTCGAACTGCCTCGATGTACAGAGTGAGGGATTACTCACGAGAACATACAAAGTTAGTTGACTGAGTCAAGAAAATATTCAGTGGAGGAACCTGACCGATAGATCAAGGATTCCACGTTTCATTGACACTTGCATGGGGAATCAAAAGAAAACAGAAAAACATTGTTTATTCTGTATTGTAATGAGGACATTAATCTATGATCATTTAATCATTTTTTTATGATTTCAGAAGTTTATTATGGACAACTTTAATTCATGTACATGACCCATTCATTTTTCAGGTCATAAATATATCGAAAATTAATTGCATTTTTTTATGGTCGTCTGCCTATAGGTCAGGGTATCCCCTCAATAATAATTAATTCAAATATGGATGATTTAGAAAATTAATAGAAAAACCTGGCGTTTTCTCTAAGACATTCTATTCAAGGTTTATTAGAATTTTATTGAAGAGTTGTATTTGTTTTTGAGCCGATTTCAATTTGAAATTATGCCACTTTGTAAGTTTTTAAAGTTTTTCTGCTGTTTTCTTTATTTTTCACTACAAAATAAAAAAAAAATAATTTGGGAAATTGAGGCTCTAAAATTTTTGTGAAAAAAATCGGAACATAATAATTTATATGTAAAAATAAAAACATCTATTTACTTTCTTCAAAGATGACAAAGTTACATCATTTTCCATAGTCAAAAAACAATTATACTTTTCGTTAAAAAGGAGTGAATTTCAAAAAAATTCTAGTAGAAAAAATTCCAATAGAATAACTTATATAAAAAAATCAACATCTATTGAATTTTTTTTTTATTAAAAAAATTTCTATTGACAAAGTTGTGTATTTTGTTGTTATTTTCAATGAAAAAACAAATGGAATTTCAACAGAATTCTAACAGAAATCCCCCAGAATTTGCGAGAGAAACAGCAAGTTTTTTCTAATCCATTTTTCCCCATGCATTTCCCAATTAATTAATCTTATTATAAATTTCAGTGCATCAAACCAAAGTATCCCCGAGGAAGATGAATACCATGACGCTATACGTCCAATAACCCAAGACGACCTGATAACAGCATTCAAACGTATGAGAATGTCAAAAGTTCAAACCAGTGGATTGACAAAAATTGATTTAGACTAAGAAAATTAAGGCACTGTCACCCACATTTCTGTTACTTTTAAAAATAACGAAATCACTAAGTTAATTTTTTATTTGGTCATCGATTATTCATATGCATCAACCAACGTAGCTACACGAATGAAAAAAATTCCAGAAAAACCTATCTAGAAAATTCTATTGCATTTCTATTAGTCTTTGGCCGATTCTTTTCAAAAGTTCAATAGAAAACATTCAACAGAAAAAGTCAATAGAATTTCCTCGACTCGAATTTTCTAAATTTTTTCCATTCTATTTTTCTAGTCTTCTCATTAAGAAAATAAAAAAGAAACTTGGAAAATATGAGCCGAGGAAATTCTATAGAAAATATCTCGATAGAATAAGTTATATAGAAAAATTGAATTCTATTGACGTTTTCTATTCCAAAAACTAATAGACAGTTCAATAGAAATCGAATAGAATTTTCTAACGAATTCGCTAGGTTCTTCTATTAAATATTTTCATGCGTGTAATGAAAAAAAAAGCAAAATAGAGTGAAAAAATTTGGAAAATCGTTTTTATTGGAAAGTTTAAATTGCAGAAATCGGACTAAAGCTGTAGAATTTCTCATTAGAATCGACCAATATTTTCCCTAGAAATAAAATAGAATTCACGAGATTTTACTATGAAATTTTTTCGTGCGTGTCCCACCCAGGAGTTCGAGGCAAAAAAATCTTAATTAAATTTCCAATAGCGAGATGTAAATAACGAGATGGAGAATGTAATATATTCAGCCATTCACTATTAACTAATGATCATTATTGTTCAATGTTTGTAAATATTGAAGATATCTGCGCCTGGACATTTGGAGTTATCGAGTATATAATTGTTACTTGAGAGAGGGATAATTAAAGAATCATTTTGGAATTGATAATTATTCATTTATTATTTTCCCAGCCCCTCTCCCCAGTTTGTCAGCTGTCATGTACGAGAGATCTCACTTGTGTGAGAATCATTTCTCAGTGCAGGTACTACGCACACAAATGGAAGACTAAGAGGCACTAATGCACTAAGAGGAATTATTTGAATAACATAACCTTATTGCAGCCATCGTAAACGTCAGATTGTCAATAAGAAAGGAAAAATATCGGTGGAGCAGGAAGATCTTGACAATGCGTCACACCTCTATCACAATAATAATAAATTATTGCCGAGGAGATTGAGAAACGAATGAGGTTCTGTCCAGTTAATCGGATAAAATGGAAAAAGAAAGGTAATCCTCGTGGGCAGATTTATTTGAGGCTTAATTGGATGAGTAGAGGAACTGGAATAGGTCTCGTTGCAACTGGAAAACGTTCTTAATTTTTTTTTCATTTGGTTTTTAATTTTTTTTGTTTACTAGATAATCAGAGTAGAATTCTTGAAAATTTGGCGTTGGACCAAATGCTGAATCATCACTGTATTGGTAGAACGTTTTAGTTGCTGTTAATGAGGCCTTCCTTCCATGTTTTCTATTAGTGTATTGTATTGAAAAATTCTGCAGTCTATCTGCGTATTTTTTGGCAATAGAAAGTTCAATGGAAAATATTCTAGAGGAAAAATCAACAGGATTTTCATTTTTTTTTCATGTAACTTGTTCTGTTGAGTTATTGTCTATAGAAATTTCTGTACTCGAATTTTCAGCTTTTTCGTTTTATTTTTCAAAATGGAAATTAAATAAAAATAACACGTACGAAGAAATTTGATCTCAATATTCTATTGAGAGATTCAATTTGTTTTTATACCCATTCTTTTGAAAATTGCGCAACGTCCCCTCTGCGTTTTTAAATATATATTTGTTTATGAAACCATATTTTTATGCATTGATTTTTCTACACAACTTATTCTGTTGGGAATTTTTCAATAAGAATTTTTAGACATGATTTTAAAATTTTTTTTTTCTGGATTGTATTATGTGAAACATAAAAATACAGCAGAAAAAAATCAAAAAATTTATACCTAAGCAAAAACAAATAGAATTTTTTCATAGAATTCTAATTAAACTTCAAGATAATTCTTATAGAGTTCTAATAAAAATTTAATAGAATTTCTTGTAGAAGGCACTAAGTTTTTCTATTAAATTTTTTCAGGCGTGAGAATGAAAAAAATTGGGAAAATTCATGTCGAGGAATTCCTATAGAAAATGTACAATATTCTACAGATTTTTTTTTCTATAGAATAGAATTTATAAAAAATTTTCTATAAAAAAAATACAATAAAACTGCAAAATTTTTCAGTAGAATCCAGTAGAACCTGAGATATTCATGAATTACTGATTAATTTCTACATCGAAAAATCCACGTGAACAAAAAAATGACAAATAATTCCTCCAGGTTCACCATGCTCCTCCTGGAGCCCGGCGAGATATTCTTCGAGGATTACAGTGTCAGAATGAAGCTGGAGGACGACTCAGACAAAGAGAGAAGCCAGTGGATGGACGGTCGACTAAAGCTATGCTCCAAGTCCCTGGTATTTGTCAATAAAGACATCAACTGGCCGCTCCTGAAGCTGCAATTCAAGGAGATCGTGTCGGTCGAGAGTACAACTATCAGAGAAATAGGGTAGATACTGTCATGAAATAGGGTAGATACTCCAAACACTTTTTATTTATCTCTCCATCCAGTTGCTGCAATTTGCTCTTGTCTCTGCAGGAGTGTTCTGTCTGCTGTTTGCAAACAATACACAGAGATGTTGAAAGGAAATATACTGGAGCCTTACAAATTTGTGCATAAGAGTGCACGTTTCTACATATCGTTTAACTACGCCAATCCTGAAGACTGTCTCCCTCAGATTATGCAATTATTGAGGGCTGCAACACTGCCTACTGCCGAACATAATGCGATGGTGAGGAGTGAAACAAATTCAGGCACAAAAAAAATTTCATTGCGAAAGCGAGTAAACTTGATAGAAAATTCTATTTAATTTTTATTGAACTCTTATTGAAAATTCTACTAGTTTTTGAAATTTTGGTGAAGAATTTCACTGCTTTACAGCTTTTTCTTTAATTGAAAATATCCAATAAAAACTATTTTTAAAAATTCAATACAAATTAATTTTTCTATAGAATTTTTTCTGTTGAAAAATCTATAGAAAATGATCCTAGGGATTTTTCTAATTTTTTTCCATTCTATTTTCTTCTCGTTTAATTTGAAAGAATCAGACAAATAAAATTTGAGCAAATTTCATCAGAAAAAGTTGAATAAAAAAATCGAATCCTATTGATTTGTGACCAAAAAATAATAGAAAGTTCAATAGAAATCCAACAGAATTGCAACTCGTTAGGTTTTCCATGAAATTTTTCATGCATGACGACAAGCCAATAGACCTCCATTTTTCCAGATAATGACAATAGTCCACTCGAGACAATCTCGATTTTCCTTCGATACCTCTTGGCTCGAAGACTTGTACGAAGAAATAATTTTCGAAGTGCAGGCCAACAAAATACAGCCACTGATAGTCAACCCTGGAAGAGTATTACTGACTAATTCAAGAATCTACTTCCAACCGTACAATAACTTGGACCAACATCCAGTTCTGAAGATAAATCTGAAAACAGTTAAAAGCGTTCTGAAACGTCGTTTCCTTCTGCGCCAAGTGGGGCTGGAGATAAAGTGGCTGAAACTACCGGAAAGTAGAGTTGAATGTTTGTTTCTATCTGTGAAGAATCAGGAGGATCGCGATAGATTGTACGACAATTTGATGAGGCAGTCGGTTCTGCAATTAGAGACTGTACCGCAGAATCAGATGACTATTCAGTGGCAGAATAGGGGCCTTTCGAATTATGATTATCTTTTGTATGTTAATAGGTAAGTACGATTTTATCATTTTCACTGTTTTACAATATTTTTCAATCATTTTCAGTCATTTTAATCATTTGATCCCGCAAAAGGTCTTTTAAATAATTATATTTTTTCATAATTCGTCAAATCGGCGCACCAAGTGGATAATTAATACTCTTTTTTACCATTTGGGATTGATATTTCCCCAAATGGATGATTGAATAAATTAATATTTTTGAAAAATCGAAAAATAACGCACAGCAGTGAATAATAATGACCGGAATGACATTAGATCATCTATAAAACGCGAAAAGCTTATTTTGACACCCATGACTCTTATGTAGACCCTTATTCTGACCCTTGTAACCTTTAGTTTCTTTATTTTTCATCCTTCATTACTTACCATTAATTTTGGAGGCTTAATTTCGAGTCCCAAATTTTCATCGCCAATCGATTTGGATTTTTATAATATAGAGACAAGATTCTAATGGGGGGCCACTTTTCGACAAAACGTGAACACCTTATTTAATTTTGAATGCTTCTAATTTTGCGATTATGATAATTTTTTTCTGGCTGGAAGAATAGAAAATTCTCTTTCCACTAAGATTATTTATTTACTCTTCCGCAGTAAATTTTAAATTCTATTCCATTAAAATATCGCTGAGGGTGGCAGAAAACAGGGCAGTAGAAATTACAGGGATTTGCATTGTCATCTCTGAAAAATTACGGATAATTTTGAAATTTTTCAATCACTGAAATTTCCACATTTCCCAGAATTTCTTGAAAAATTGCACAATTTCCTAGAATTATTTGAATTCCTACAATGACTGACTCTAAATTTTCTGGCACTTTTGCGACAACTGTGGAGTTATCATCCCTCGAAAATTTTAGACAGGAAATATTAAAATATTCACCGGAGTTTCGTCGATTTTTTAGTCTCGCAGATCGCACTTTCCACGATTTAACGCAATATCCAGTGATGCCCTGGATCCTCCAGGATTACACGTCTCCGAATCTAGACTTGAACGATCCAAAAAACTATAGGGATCTCACGAAACCAATTGGGGCACTGGAGCCTGACCGGTTAGAACGATTAAAGGTACATGCGACTCATTTGGAATTGTTCGAGAAGAACGAAAAAAAAAACTGCTTCATGTTTCTTTAGGAAAGATATCAGGAAATGTCACACAACAAATTTCTGTACGGTTCCCACTACAGTGCCCCTGGCTTTGTATTGTTTTATTTAGTCCGGAAGTACCCTCAGTACATGCTTTGCCTTCAAAACGGTCGATTCGATCATCCTGATCGGATGTTCAACAAGTAAGTGATTAAAGAACAACATTTGTGCTTAGAGTATTATTAGAAAAGGACTGCACACGTGTCTGTGTAATTTTACTATAAATGAGACGGGGGCTTTGCTTTAATAAAGCGCACAACAAATTTTATAGCAAAAGCTAGACAATTCGCTAGAAAAAACTAGAGAATTCACTAGAAAATTCTATTGAATTTCGGTCATTTTGTGGGCGCGTTTTTCCAATACCGAAGTCCAATAGAAAATATTCTATAGAAAAGGGTCAATGAAACTTGATTTTTCAAAACAACTTGCTCTATTGAAATATTTTTTGTAGAAATTACTCGACTCAAATTTTCTAAATTTTTAACTTCCCGACCCTCAGGGAGAAAATTAATTCGCTTTACTTTTTCGTTAAATTAAAAAAATTGAGTAAAATACTTGAAAAATTGATGTCTCCAAAAAAAATAATAGTAATTATTATAATAATAATTTATAGGGATAATTGATTATTCCTATAGAAAATGTTTATTATCAAATCTAGTTGAAAAATAGAACGGGTTTTTCTGTAAAAATTTTTCGTGCGTAAATCGCTTGGTAAATGCGTAATTCTCCGCTGGAAAACTATCTCCATCGCTGCTTTCATATGAAACTCCGCAGAAATACGGTTTACTGTTTGACGAAACGTTAACGAGAGTTAAAAACCTGACAGTGTGGCTGACGTCTGGAAAAATGTATTGGCGAATATGTCTGACTTTAAGGAGCTAGTGCCCGAGTTTTACGATACCTCAAATGGTGGGGATTTTCTGGTGAACAAGTATGGCATTGATTTTGGATATCGATACAATGGGGTGAAAGTTGGAGATGTGCAGTTGCCACCGTGGGCTGAAGGTAATTTGTGGTGAAACGAGATGAATCGACTGAAGTGGAGACTGATTTTTGATTACCTGGAGATAGGGCCATTCTTTAGAGAAAAATTAAGGCTATAGTGAAAACACGGATGGTGTATTTCCACAAAGCTATCTTACTGCATAAATTAACTCGGTAGCGAAGCAAAAAAACGATTCAAAGGCGTAGCAGAAAATCGACTTAGCCTTTAGCTGAGTTTTCGAGGAATATCTCCGAATCTAAGGGGGATACAAAAATTTTCGTAATTACCTTTTTTGCAGAGCGAATTGAGGGCTACAAAAAAGGTCATGTCAAAAATTTTGCTATCGCTCTTAGATTTCGAGATATTCATTGAAAACCGGCCAATAGTCAAAATCGAAATTCATTCATCTCGTTTAAACATTTCTGATTTGATCACGATGGATCCACGATCATCATGATCAAAGATCAGGCATTCGAAATATCTGACTAAATAATCTTCCCCTCTGAAGGGCCCGCCGACTTCGTACAAAAATTGAGAAGTGCTCTAGAGAGTGATTACGTATCGCAGAACCTTCACCACTGGATCGATCTCATATTCGGATATAAGCAGAGAGGAGTAGAAGCCGAGAAGGCCGATAATGGTACCAATAATTCGATTTCGAATGTGATAATGGAATGTCATTTGGGGGAGACTGAAGTGAAATGAGCTCTTCTGATTTTTTTCAAAAGATTCATAACTTCGAGAATAAATTCATCAATTGATGAATTTTAATTGGAGTGAGGATAAAAAAATTATCCAATTCCATAATTACAAAAAAAAATCATTAATAATAATTAAATTAATGATTTAATTTTTTTTTCTTAGATTTAATCATGAGAATTTTTTTTAATCGTTATTTTACATCGTTTCGACCCGGTTAGGGTATAGCACGATGATGATCAAGACTTTAAATGGTTAGATCGGATTTGAACTCGGAACCTTTCGCATGTGAGGCAACGAACTTACCCACTGCGCCAAACCCCCGGATTAAAAAAAAAAAAA